ACCTGATAGCATAATAATTACATGTGAGTTCAATGTACTTATATCGGCTGTATGGCCGAAGTTACTTCGTATTAGATCGTGTAAAAAATCAAAAAAATAAAAATAAAATGTGAGCAATAATTTGAAAAGGAGTATATCTCATATTCTCATAACAGGTGTAATGTGTTAATGGAATGAAGGAGCACTTACTTCCCTCATCACCTCATTGTCCCATGATTATTTTTGTTTTGAGATTGATTATTAGGTTTTGCGTTTTCCTGGTATAAGGCGCACCTTTCATTTGTGGACCTTACATATTAATATTATGCGAAGACTTTCTCCGTGCTACGTTAATTATATTACGTACAAAATAAGGGATAGAAATATAAAATATGACTATATATTAAATTTAGATGGAGAGAATATAGTATAAAGTTGTAAGCCCTCGCATAATCTTTTGGTGATATTTATATTATTCAAGAAACATTATTTAGAAGATTAGTGTGGGTATGAAAAATAAAAAGACAGAAAGTGTATGTTTGTGATTGTGAATGAAGATGTATATGTGGAATTGAAGGGGAGAGAAATTACTTTAAATATACTTTAATTTATCAATGTGACATCTATTTTTATATAGTATGAATTTATGATATTCAAAGGGGATTAAAGGTTACATATAGCATATATCATCACTTGATTTGCTAATGATTATCTGGTTCACTACTAGTTCATCAAATGCTTAGTTTAATTTACCTAGCTACTTGAAAGGTACGTACACCTTGCATGCCTAACTGAAGTTAAATGATACATATCATTACATGTCTTAAGGTTACATTCTTCTTATGAATTATGCAAGAGTGTGTATGTCATAATTTACGTACTATACATTTTGTATGCAAATTAAAATTTTTTGAAAATCATGATACACGAGTCTACAGCAACTCTGTGTAAGCACAGGTCGGGTACATTGTACACTTTACTAATTGCTACTCACACTCATTTTTTTTAGATACCGTTGTAAACACAATGGAGAATATCGTATGCATGCAAAGTGATACGGAGTATGACATTATTGATTTGTTGACATAAATATACGACAAATTAACACATATCCCATGCACAACAGCACAAGTGCACAATCACTAGACGAAAAATGTAGATGAGCACCGGTTCAAAACCCCCCTTCAACACCGGTTTTGAACCGGTCCAGATTTGAGGGATGCAAAAAGGGATGCAAAAAGAAAAAAAAAAAAACATTGGCACCGGTTCAAAACCGGTGCGAAAACAAAGAATTAGCATCGGTTAATTGGTGCGAATTAAGTTCTTTGGCACCGGTTAATCGGTGCTAAAAGGGTATGCCGCGCTTTTTTTTTTTGGTTTTAAATGCAATTGGCACCGATTAACCGGTGCCATTAAATCTATTTTTTTTTTGGCAATAATTTTAATATTCATACTAATAATAATTATAATAATAAAAAACTTGTACATCCTGCATTAATTCCACTATTATTATAATATTAAAAATAATAATAATAATTTCTAAATTGAAATAATAACAACAATACATAGATATTAATAATTCCAAATGCAATACAATAGTGTCATATTTACAATTCCTCAAATAAAAAGAAGTGTCATATTTACAAACAATACTAATTAATAATGTAGTTAAAAAGTTAACAAAATCTAAATTCAAATAGAAGTGACATTTACAAATTAAAAGTTATGAAAGACGCCAATATGTCAAGAACTTCATTAAGTTCCTTGCTTGTCAACGGACCTTCCCTTTGTATCTTGCAAAACTTGGAATAAACAAAAATTATGTTAGAATTAATTACTTAGGTTATGCATGTATAAATACATTTTTAAAAAATTAAATACCAAACTTGATTTATTATAAGTGGCTCAAATATATAGAATGTTTCTATTATTTGTAAGTATAAACAAGCAAATAATAGTCAAATTCATACATTTACAAATTCACTTAGGCAAAAATTATTACTTAGGCCTATTTAACTTTTACTTTACCTATTTTTTACATTTCTTATCAAATGAACTCATTCTTTTTCGTAACATGTCAATATTATTTTAACTAACCATGCATTATTATTTATTGGGGCTCATGTCATGGGTGTGTTGGATGTAAATCACTAAGCTCTCATCACTACTTGCGTAGATATTTGGCTTAATATTCGGCCCCTTTATGTCAATCAGAATTGAATGATTGGCCTACGATGATCGAAGAGAAATACTCGTAATGTAAAACGTGCTTATATTGGAATTGTGGATAATAATATATGAATATGATATCTCACCTTTCTCCTCATAGCCACTCTTTTAATGGCTTATCCTAAATTCATACTCTGCACAAATGGAGCACGTTTTTTAACAGCCATTCCTTTGAGGTTACTCTTTGATCATCGAATTATCAATACTGCATTTTTTAAGTTGCATATGGAAGAAAAATGGTAAACGTAACCCTTAAAACTATGTTTTAAATAAAGGTATTTTTTCCATTAATATTTTTTTTCTAGAAATATTTTCGGTTAATTATGCTAGATATTGGTTTTAGAGTAGTCAATTCAGTTATAATGTGTGTACAAAGTAAAAGTTATGTATTGTACATTTGTAAATATATATGTACACGAGCGTACCCATTAGATTTCGATCGCGACACAAATTTGTGCAGTAGGTCACAGATTTAAATTCCCTCTCTCCATGATCTCACTTTGTAATTTGTGAAGTCATCCTTGTGGTCATTTGGAGTCATTACTAAATTTTTAGCTATAATTTTATTTTTTTAAGGTTTAAGCACAAATAAAGACTAACTTGAACATTTAGATGAAAGTAGCCTTATATTTACTCCCTCTGTCCAATAATACATGACACAGTCAAACATTGCACAGATGTCAATGCACTAGTTTGACTTTTTTTATATAATTAAATATTAATGAATATTATTTTAAAAATTATATTATGAATTGAAACTTTATATCAATACCTATCTAACAACATATTTTATGATAAAATATATTTTAATTATGTTAGTAAAAAATTATGGCCAAATCTAGCTAATGCATGAATAGTAAAAAAAAAGTCCAACGTCTCATGTATTATGGGACGGAGGGAGTATATATTAATGATAAGATGCATGATAAGCTCATGTAGATGGAAGATAAGTTTTTTTTATTGTCAATTAAATATTCATGACAGTGGTTGGTGATGTTAAGTTTTCATTAAATTGAAAACTTTATTAGCTAGGTTGTAATTGACCCTAAATTGCATACTTTGCTTAACAGAAGATGTTGTACTTTAATCTAACAAAGAATTTTCGGATAAGAAAGATTTCTAGAAAATGGGAAATAGTCAAATTTTAGAGTTTAATGTAGTTTTTGCAAAGAAATATGACTTGGAGTATAATGGAAACAGAATTCATTTTTTATGAGTCTTTCCACAATTTTTCCACATCATTATCTTGCTTTTTATCTGTCTTTCTCCTTATTAATTATTCTTATGATCATACATATAATGCATCAATGCATGGCATTTGATTCTGATTCTAAAAGCTATTTCCAAATTTGTAGTATTTCAGTTCATATAAACGAGGAAAAGCAATAAATGAAAATTATTCTTACACATGAGAATACTTTTTATAAAGGCTGAAGGGTTTAAACTTTAGTCCTCTTTAATTTTTTTCTTAGATCGCTAGTTATATTCTTAGCCTCTTTAAGGCGTGGTGCTCAAACATAAGATGATAAGATTATATTTCATTTATCATTTGTCTTGTATGACTCTTGAACTATTACCCTAAATACAATCATCTTAATTACTATGGAGTAGATGACATCGTTTTTAGACCTCTCACACTATGAGTTTTTTTTTTTTATTATTTTATTTTATTTTATTTTTATAATCACCTAAGAAAAATGCATTTCCATCCGATGAACAAGTTATCATCCATTGCATATGGCTATATGATATAGTTTTAATTTATGTAGTGGTCAGATTTTTTCATCCACAAACATAAAAATGATTAAATGTATGTCGGTGTCCCATACATTTGATACATATGCCCCTGCCTCCTCCAAGGACCTTCACTCCATGGACCCAACATTTAAGGAAAAACAATTGAGTGCTCCTAAATTTTTATACATAGTACATGACTTGTTAAAAGTCTTCAAATTACTCGTACAAAAGAATTATTTTTGAAAACATATATTAAAACTAATCCAACAATAAAGTATATAATAATATTTGACATCTATAAATTATTAAATAAAAAATAAATAGAGTGGTTTCAAAAAATAAATTAATTAAATTTTTTTTGGTGTTCCACCCGGTTTACCCTTCGGGCTAATCCGGATTCGAGGATCAGTTTTGGGTTGTTAGGTTCCAATTCCCTCCCAATTGTTGTTGCAGGGGATCGAACACAGGTCCTCCCTATCAAGTGCAATCCCAATCTCCACTGCACCAACAATCAATTGGTAAAAAATAAAAATAAAAATTGAGTAATCAGAATTATTACTCTTATTGTTTTTTTTGTACATCACTTTTATTTTTGCACTATTCATATACTAACTTTGACTAAGTATTATTAATACTCTATAATATATAAATGTGATATTTATTATTTCAAAATGTGTATATTAATAATACAGAGTATTAACATTTTACTACGTATGTTTTTTGTTAAAAGATATTGACTGTCAAAGTTGTACATTGACATGTCTGCAATTCAAATTGATGCACAATTATTAAAAAATGGTGAGACTACATGAGTACTCCGTATGAAGTAGTGTATTCCATAAATTATGTTGAGGCAAACTGTTGCAATTATTTAGAGTAGAGCTCGTATTTTTTATTTTTGGTGTACACGAGGAGCCTGAAAACAAACAATAAAACTATGGCGAAACGAAACGTGGCAAAGTCACTCCTATAATATCATCATACAAAATATGTCCTAAAGATAAAAGGAGGAAATTGAATTAACTCAAATTTATTATTCTGACTCGTATTTTTTTTATTGCTTTAATAAATGCACCTACACGAATATATAAAAGGAAATACCTTCATTTCTAAATTCTCGAACTTGCCAAAGCCACAAACTAACCAACAAAATTTTAAAAATAAAAATAAAAAATTAACACATTGCAATTGCAAATTTTGCTTCAAAAAAAAAAAAAGAAGAACCCTTAAATTTCTTTTTTCTTCTGTTGATTTTTTCTGTAATTTCCACCTTTTCCCGCTCAAATTCTGATACCCATTTCAATTCGAAGAAGAAGGTAATTGACGAATTCAACATCTTCTATAGCAGGGTATTGCCTCTTTCTTCCATTTCTTGAATTTTCTGTAAATATATTGCTTGCATTTCGTCTTTTATCATCTGGGTTTTTCTTAATTTCTTGGGTTTTCTTTGAATTGATTTAATTTTGAGGTTTCATTTTTATCCTTCTTTAATTAATTTTGTTAAACCCTAGCTGCTCCAAGAAAAATAAGATTATATATAAGGAATTCAGTTTAGGAATTATTAAGACAAAATTACAAGTCGATTGGTGTTATTACAGTTTAGTTAATAGTCTTAATACTCCAAAAATTTATTTGCATATGCCTTTTTTGAGTGTTACCAAATTTGAGAACAATAGTTATTTGGGTAAAAATATATGTTGTTCTAATATTCAGTTCCAAATTCTAGCCTTTTGAAGTGTTCATTGATTAATGTTTCCTTTTTTTAAATGACACTGAAATTAGAAATTTATATGTTATTTAGGGAAGTTCTTAGCTTTGGTGATTAGTATAAGTTAATAATGAGTGATTAGTGATGATGGGTTCTTATATATAAAGAGAGATATCTATTGTGATTATAAATTGAGGTGTTTTTGGCTGATGTTTTAGAGACTGGAGACGCAGGAAAAGAAGAGATTATTCTATGGAAGGCGGCGTCCAAAGAGGTTTGGAATGCCAGAAGATTATGGATGGGAAGGTGTATGACAATGGTGAAAAGGCAATCCCTTCATGTTGCCTCAAGGCGAGAGCCGCAGTTCCTGAATCTGATGCCAAGTGCCATTCAACTGTGGTTTCCGGGTGGTTCACAGAAGCTCGGTCATCCTCTGGTCATTATCCTAATATTTGACTTATACATTTTTTTTTTTAATTTCCTTTGGATTGAATCATTTGTGTGATTGTTGGTTGCATCTTAGTTGGTCAAATTATTGATTGTTTTTATCCTTTTGGTTTTGTTTATGGCACATAAAGGCGAGAAGCAGCTTTATTACAACAATCCAATGTGGCCTGGTATGCATTATCAACAATAATTGGTCTTGATATTTTTTTTTTTCGCTCCATGATTTAATCACATTGGTTAGGATAATTCGGTAAATATTTCCTGATTGTGCTCTTAGCTTTTAGAGTTAACTGCTTTACTCCCTTGACGAGTTAACTACATGAAATGACTTAATGGTCAGAGGAATGATAATATGAAGATGAATGCTTAGCTATTACAACTAATTGCCTTGTATTATGTTTTTTAGGAGCAGCGCACTCGATTAAAGTGGAGAAGATTTTGTTCCAGGAAAAATCATTGTACCAAGAAGTCCTTGTCTTTGAGGTTAAGCTCTTAATGTTGTCTTTAGTGCCTGAGTGTGCTGTTTTCAAATCTTTTTAAAATATCTAACATTTTGATACATGTTAATGCTTGCAGTCAACAAACTATGGGAATGTGCTAGTTCTTGATGGCATTGTTCAGCTAACTGACAAAGATGAATTCGCATACCAAGAGATGATAGTCCATCTTCCACTTTGTTCTATAGAATCCCCCAAAAATGTGAGTATTTCATTGTTCATGAGTATTTTTTCATATATGCCTGGATCAGACAGCTGTTCTGTATTTATTTATCTATTTATGTTATCAGATGTGTTGGGAGATGAATCTTATTTTACACTCCCTGTTGTTTTGAAGCATTACATTCACTTCCAATGTTGACATATTCACATACTTTACTTTGACCATTGTTTGTGATTTATATGTAAGGAAAAAAAGTGGGATCTTGTTTAATTCGTCTCAATTCGATATGCAGACCTAATCTCTGTATAGCTTGCATTGTTGATTTTGACTTGTTTTGATGTTCATATTGAGTATTTAGGCGTCCAAGGAGAGGATTTGTTCAACTAAAGCATAGACCAGTATGTTTTACCCGTCAATTATTTACTGGATGAGTGAGACTGTGAAAGTATTATTGGCAGTGAAAACCCTCCTCACTTCTCAATCCTAATTTTTTATCTTACCATTCATCCTTTTTTGTGAATAGGAACATCTAGCAAAGCACTGTGCTGTGCTCTCTTCTCAAATTTTGATTATCTTTTAGATGTCTGCTTGTATTTGTTCCATTCGAACTTCTTGGTGAAATTCTCTGTGGACAACTTTGATAATGTATCAGTGGTCTTATTGAGCTGACTCAGTTAGAAGTATGTGTTTCAATTGGTTCTGCTTATCTCCCACGAGTCCCATCCACTGCTCTAAAGCTGTACTATGATGTTATCCATCAGTGATTGTGTAAATTGTGTTATTGCACTCTATTTGCAGAAGCTAGTGCTCTGTGAAGTGTGAACATCTGATAGTTATTCTGTTTGATATGGTAACGCAGGTTCTTGTAGTAGGTGGTGGTGATGGTGGAGTTCTCCGTGAGATATCTCGCCATACTTCTGTGGAGCATATAGATATTTGCGAGATTGATGAAATGGTTATAGATGTAAGTGTCTTAAATTACTTATCCTTAGGTATTATTGTGCGAACTTGAAGATTGAACAGCAACTTTTTTAAATCCAGGTTTCTAAGAAATTTTTTCCTGAGTTGGCTCTTGGGTTTGAAGACCCCCGCGTCACTCTTCACGTTGGTGATGGTACGTTTGTTGACTACATACTTTTTATTTTTGTTTTGTGAGCTTTTATTGGTATGTTGATTCATCAAAATTGGAGCCTATTTCCTGACAATGTTACATTTCTTTCTTCTAATTCTCTATTTTCTGGCAGCTGTGGAATTTTTGAAAAATTCACCAGAAGGAAAGTATGATGCCATAGTGGTTGATTCTTCAGATCCTGTAGGTAAGTTGTATAAGTAAATTAATTGGCTTGTGCATTTCTGAGCTGATTGCTTTAAAAGTTTAATTAAATATTGTAGCTTTAAAATTTCCATTTAAGATAAGTTATTGCTATTTTAGAGTGGTCATGGGATTGATGCTGTGTGGAGAAAAATATATCATAGTTGATTTTTGTCTTATGCTCTGAAGTGATTATTGCCTTATTTCACGCAGGTCCTGCGCAAGAACTAGTTGAGAAACCGTTTTTTGAGACATTGGCAAGAGCTTTGAGGCCTGGTGGTGTACTTTGTAACATGGCAGAGAGTATGTGGCTTCATACTCATCTTATTGAGGATATGATATCAATCTGCCGCGAAATTTTCAAGGGTTCTGTTCATTATGCATGGACTAGTGTGCCAACCTATCCAAGGTACATATGACCCAATGCTTGTAGTCTCTGTTTGTCTTCATATTAGCTTGGTATGTATGTGCAATCTTATTTCCTGGACAACCTTAGAAGAACAAGAAGTAATAAAGATATCTAATGACTAAAATACTTTGAGTGCTTGAGGCCTTGTTTTCTTTCTTTAGCATTATTTATAATTTATGCTTAGTGTTCATAAAACAAATTGCTGTGCGTAGTTGCTGCAATTTCATGGGTTTACTCGCTTCACTGGCCTAACTCTGTTAATGACCTATCTGGACCTGAGCACCTGACTGAAGGGGTGGGTTTGCCCCTTACTTCCTTCCCTGTCAATTTGGGTACTCCACCCTTTTCTTGAGCAATCTCCTGAATACCTACACGTACAACTGAATGTAAGCATAAATGTGAGTCTCTAAGGCTCCATATGCTATGATTTATTTGGGATATGATGACAAAATCCATCACTGTAGTCAACTGTTTAGGTTCAATTTTATTTTCTTTTCTTTTATTTTATTTTCTTAAACTCCTCCTTTCTGGACCTAATCCTATTCCTCCGAATTGTTAAATCCATTTCCATAGTCAAATATTTAGTTCAACCTTTATCTTTTTTTTTTTTTTTTTTTTCCCAATCTCCTTTCTGGAACTAATTCTATTCCTCTGAATTGTTTTCCTACTATTAAAGTATTAAGCCATGGCATAAACATTAGCAAGTTAATTGACCAAAGAAGTGGTTGCAAATTTGGCCTATTAATTGCTGAAAATTTGCTGAAACTTGGGAGTGATAAGAAGAGTGAGGACTGAGGAGGAAAGGAAGGAGATGGAGGGGAAGTATTACAAGTTAGAAAAATTTCTGAAGCTATGAAATATGGAATGGGTTAAATTTCATCTCATTTCATTTACCTGTTCAATGCATTCTAACCTTATCAAAATGTTAATCAAACCTCCCCCATCACATTTCTTAACTTACTGGGGGAACAGGTAAAATGTGAAGCAAAATGTGGCGTTGACTTTAATGCATGGAATTCATTTCCACGTTAACTTACTATGTTCTGAAGGTAGGCAAGACGTAAGATGCTTATGTGACTTTTTGCTATGTGGTCCATTTTCTCTTTATCACATTTCATAACTTACGGTATTAACATAATATAATTTATTAACATAGATTGTTGATCTCCTGTTTCATCTGTTCCTTTTTGCATTAAAATTTTTGATCATTAAAATTTTGTTTCATCTATTGCAAATTTGTCACGGGTATCCAAAACTCATTTTATTGACGGAATGATTTTGTTTCATTTCTTTCAGTGGTGTTATTGGATTTATACTTTGTTCAACAGAGGGCCCACCAGTTGATTTTTTGAATCCAATCAACCCTATTGAGAAGATCGAAGGAGCAGTCAAGCATCGAAGAGAACTCAGATTTTATAATTCGGAGGTAAGGATATGCTATCTATAATTGTCTTGTAGCATACTATTGCTATTATTTTTGGAGAAAAATACTCTATTTGGTCTTGAGAGTTGAACATATATTTCTTCACTATAAATGTTTCTATCTCCCTTCTTTTATGTTAGCTGTGCTCTTTGTTGTGCTTCATTTGTTAGCTTTAAGTCACACAGCAGCATGCACATCGCCACCCTGCTGATTCACCTCACAGTAGCTATGTTCTTTACTCTCCAAAATAACTGATCAACTTGCTATCAGACATTATGTGTCAAGAAGACAAGAAGTGTAAAGTAGAGGGTTTTCACCTTTTGTTTTCACTTTTTGGTCTTACCTCGCCTATTATTTGTATTATTGTTTTGCTTCCACTGGAGAGCTTCTGGAACTTAAAAGCATGGTGTACATTATCTAACTTGGAATTATGTTCGATAAATGCAGGTTCACACTGCGGCCTTCTCCCTGCCGTCATTTCTGAAGCGGGAGGTCAGTTCTCTTCGTGATTCTTCATCAACCAAGGGGCTCGTTTTTCCTTAATAGAAAATGCAGTGCACCTCAAAATATTCCTATGACAAGATTCAAGTATTATTCGAGTATATATGTGTTCTTCGTATCATGATATATCGATGTTTTTAAGATCACATGGATGATACGTTGTTAGTAGCTATTTTCTATTGATATCAAGAAGAGGGTTAGATTCTATCAAATTGGAATCTATTGATAAAGAATTGACAAAGTAGTACTAAGAATAAGAAGGGCCCCCCTAGTAAGTGTTAATTTCATCTATTTTGATCATTTTGTTGTATATCCATCAGTTGATTGTCAACCTATTCCACCCATTTCTTCTCAGATGGCCAATTTCTGGCCAAATGATAAACTTCAAGCTTCATGAACGTACTACACCGTCTACACGTGTGTGTGTACGTACCTTATCGGCTTGGTTTCTAGTTTATGACTCAATTTGAACCCCCTTCCCCAGACAAGCACCCCCCCCCCCCCACTCTTATACCAATAACATCACTTGTACTTTGACAAATTGAATAATAGTAATTGTGAATTCATTTGAAGTAATTTTATTTAACTAATGTTGTAATTACATTTATGCATTTGTATTAGCTTACGTAAATGTTTTTTAAAAAATTCATTAAAAATGATTATAAAGTTTTGCCAAAATTTTGAAATAGTAAAAGCATCACCCAATTGATTGATAGACTCGTAATTGAATATTATGGGTCATGGTCAGGTGTATTTTGACTTAAACACCAAATTAAAAATGAATTGATCGTCTATAAATTCAAACTTGAAATTGTCCGATCCAATTCGAACTAACCACAGCCGTACAAGTATAATTTACGATTACGAGTACGGTACATTAGCCATCAGGTGTTCTTATTAGCGCGCGAATTCTGCAATTAAGAACACCGCGCGCAAATAAGAACACCGGCTATTATAAGAATGAACTGAAGCAAGGTAGTGACAATGACTCCTCGTCTTTTCTCTATCTCTCGTACTTCCTCAACCCAATCTGTACAATTCCTGGGGCACACGTCACCGGAATCTTATCTTTTCCGGTGCAACAAAAGAATCCGAGACCTGAGCAAACTTGGTAAAGTTGATGATGCCCGCCAAGTGTTCGACAAAATGTCTCAAAGAGATTCTGTTAGTTGGGACACTATGATTTCTGGGTATTCCCGAAACAACCGGATTATGGATGCTCAGGTGCTTTTTGATGCATTTTCTGGAAGAAATGTGAGAACTTGGACTGCAATGTTAGCTGGGTATGCTAAAGTTGGTCGACTCGAGGAGGCTAGGAGAGTGTTTGATTCTATGCCGGAGAAGAATGTCATTACTTGGAATGCTTTGATTACTGGGTATGTGCAGAATGGGGATTTGGTCTATGCCAAGAAGTTGTTTGATGACATGCCTCAGAGAAATATTGCTTCTTGGAACACTATGATTACTGGGTATTGTCATGGTGGTATGATGAGGGAAGCAAGGGAGCTTTTTGAGCAAATGCCGGAGAACAATCCAGTTTCTTGGATGGTTATGTTATCTGGGTATGTTGAGATTAATAGTTTTGTGGAAGCTTGGAATGTATTTGGGAGGATGCACCGTACTGGTTTGATGCCCGATCAGCCCATGTATGTTGTTGCTTTATCAGCTGTAATTGGTTTGGAGGCTTTGGATTTAGTTGATAGCTTGCGTAGCATTGTGATAAAAACTGGGTATGAGGAGGATGTAGTTATTGGCACTGTAATTTTAAATGCCTATACAAGAAGTGGGAGGTTGGACATGGCAGTTGACTTCTTCAGTAGAATGCCACAAAGGAACGAATACTCATGGACAACAATGATCACTGCATTTTCTCAGTGTGGAAGATTGGATGATGCGATTGCATTCTACAAGAGGATTCCTGAACCAACCATTTTTTCACAAACTGCTATGATGACTGCATATACTCAGAATGGAAGAATCATGGATGCTGAAGCTTTATTCAAAGAAATTCAGAATCCAAATATAATTACATGGAATGCTATGATCGCAGGGTATTCCCAAAATGGAATGATTGATGAGGCAAAAGATGTATTTATGCGCATGCCAACTAGGAACTCAGCCTCTTGGGCAGCCATGATCTCTGGACTTGCGCAAAATGAAAGATGTGAAGATGCTCTTCATATGTTCACAGGATTCCATAGTTTAGGAAACTTTCCCACTGATTCTTGTTTCACTAGCTGTATATATGCCAGTGCTAGCCTCGGAGCAATTGAAACAGGAAGACAAATGCATGCCCTGGCAATCAAAAGGTGCTGTCAGCATAATCCCTTTGTTGCAAATGCATTGATCTCTATGTATTCCAAGTGCAAGAATATAGAAGATGTTTCTCAAGTATTTAGTACAATGGGAGTGAAGGACATTACTGCCTGGAATTCTCTGATAACTGGGCTATCACACAATGACATGCTTAAAAAAGCTCGTGACACCTTTGAAAAAATGCCTGAACACGATGTTGTGTCTTGGACTGCTATAGTGTCAGCTTATGTGCAAGCTGGTGATGTTGATGCAGCCCTGCATCTGTTTGGTGAAATGTTGGCTAGACAGTTGAGACCAAATGAGTTAACAATTACAAGTATTCTAAGTGCTTGTGGAAGTGCTGGTGCCATGAAGCTTGGGGAGCAGATTCATGGATTCCTCAGCAAGCTTGGGTTTGACTCATGCCTGTTTGTTAATAATTCTTTGATAACTATGTATTTCAAATTCGGAAGCGAGGGTGGATTTTCTATTTTTGAGGACATGGCTGTGAGAGATCTAGTCACATGGAATGCGGTTTTGGCAGGCTGTGCGCACAATGGTTTGGGTAAGGAAGCCATAAGATATTTTAGGAGGATGGAAGCTGAAGGGGTTTTGCCAGATCAGATTAGTTTTCTGGGTATATTATGTGCATGTAGCCGTGCAGGGCTATTAGCAGAAGGAAGGGCCTATTTGGATTCCATGTGCAAAGATTATGGGATCAAGCCATTGGTGTACCATTATACTTGTGTGGTTGATCTTCTTGGTCGGGCTGGTCAACTTTCTGAAGCTGAGGCATTAGTTGAAAGTATGCCTGTTGAACGTGATTCTGTAATTTTGGAGGCCCTTCTTGGTGCATGTAGGATCCATTGCAACATTGAACTTGCTGAGAGAGTTGCCAAAAGGCTCTTCCATATGGATACAATTAAATCAGGGACATATGTGCTGTTGTCTAATATGTATGCCTCTCATAGTAGATGGGATAAAGTGGAAGAAATAAGAGAGCTGATGAAAGCTCGGGGAATGTCTAAAGAACCAGCAACCAGCTGGATTCACATCAAGAATAAGCTTTATACTTTCACAGCTGATAAGGGGCATGATTCAGTGGAACAGATTCAAACACTCTTAGAGGAATATTATGGACGTTTGAAGCTGACAGGGTATGTGCCCAAAACAGAATTCGTTCTTCATGATGTGGAGGAGGAGCAAAAACATAATCAGCTCCTTTACCACAGTGAGAAACTTGCTCTGGCCTTTGGGATTCTGAACACACCAGACAGATCATCTATATTGATTTTGAAGAACCTTCGTATTTGTGGTGACTGTCACACTTTTATGAAGTTCATGTCCAATGTCACTCAAAGAAAGATCGTTATTCGAGATAGAAAGAGATTCCATCATTTTGAAGATGGTGCATGTACTTGTGGAGATTACTGGTGAGACATTTATAACAATTTGATAGTATCAAACTATCTATTCTCACTAGTTTCTAGAAGCTGATGTGTCAGAATAACATCAGTTATGAAGGTAACTCATCCTCACTTTCAAGTTTGTCATTTGCAAATCTGAACTATTGAAATTGTAAATGAACTGTAGTGATTAGTATGGGCTTCTTAATCACAACTGAAATATGTGTTTCTGTCTTCCATCAGCTAATTGAAGCCAAGTGGAAATAGTGAAGATGAATATATAGCTACTGCTACTTCTGCGTTTTGCATTATTTGACCATTTCTTCCTATATGCTTGCAGCAGATTGTTCTTTTTCATAAATGTACTGGGAGAGGTGTCTGTTTATATGGTACTTGATCTAAATGAAATGTTTATCTTCTCTTGAGAAACTGATCATCCTAAGTCCTAACACTAGTATTGCATTAGACAGTAGTTGGGATTAAACACATTCTTATGTCATACATGCTCTGTATATCTATATGATGAATGAGAAAACATCATAAATCTTGTTGAGTGTTTTATGTTGTCTGCATGATAACCTGTGACTTTCCTGCATTTCTTAAATTTAGTTTTGAATTTTTGTCTGAGGACAACTTGAATCATGTATCAATTGTCTTGTAGTATTCACTTTTATATGCTTCAACTAATTTAGGTTATCTCTCAGAAATGAGCATAGTATCTACTCCCTCAGTATTGTATTACTTGCTCCACTTTCCTTTTGCGGCCGTATTTTATTACTTGCTCCATTTCCTTATTTGGAAACGTTTAACAATATTTTACTATTTTTCTCCCCACTAGTGGTCCCCTCATATCATATTTTAATATATTTTATATTCTCTCTCCTCCCGACTTATACTCACTTTTGCTTTTTAAGATTTTTTTACTCTTCAACCAACCCTACTTCCATCATATTTTATTACTTTCTACTAATTCTCCTAAAATTCCGCGCATGAAGAAGTGGAGCAAGTAATAAAATGCTGAGGGAGTACTATCATCATTCTAGTAATTGTTGTAGAGTTTCTGCTGTGGCGCTCTACTTGCAGATGCTAAGGATTCTCTGTGCATATATTGATAATTGTTCTTGTTGTCTTGGTACTGCAGGTTCTGGTAATAGCCTAACTAGTGGAGGTGACAGAGGAGTTCTCTGGGAATTTTCTCGCCTTGCCTTTGTGAAGCACATAAACATTTGTGAGGCTAATAATGGTTGTATATGTAAGTGACATAAATTGCATTCTTAGAGTCTTGCCTTAATTTTGCAAACTTTGGAATATTGAACAGAAATTGCTTTCTTTAGTTTCTTATATCCAGGGTCTCTGATAAAAACTATTTTTCCTGAGTTGGCTGTTGGTTTTGAATATCCCCGTGCTCAATCCTCACTCACATTGATGATGGTATGTTTCTTGACTGTGTGTTGTTTTTCTTTGACTTGTGAGCTACTATTGATGCTGGTGATTTATCAATATTGAAGGATTAGCTACATGTTTTCCCCTGTACTTTTAATTGTTGGCAGCTGTGGAGTTCCTGAAGAATGCACCCAAAGGGAATTGTGATGCCATGCATATCTATATTATCAGATCCTGCAGGTATGTTGTACAAGTAAAATGATTCACACTTGCATTTCTATACAGAGGAAATCTGTAGCTGATGAGCATTTTATGTTCTGTGATTTATGCCATTTTTCATACAGGCAAGGCCAAAGAACTTGCTGAGAGACCCTTACTTGAGAGTTGGCAATGGCAAGAGCAGAGAGTGTGCACGGGCTTCATACCCATGTAAATGAGGATCTGATATCTGTATGCCAAGACTCATAAGGCTTTCATGGGTTGGACTCATTATGGATTGACTAGCTTACCATGCCTACCAATTCAAGGTAATATGCACCAATGCTCGGAGCCTCTGTGTGTCTTTGTATCTGCATTGCATGTTTCTGTCCTGCATTCTTGTTTTCCTAAACAACCTCAATAAAAGTAAGAAGCTGAATGAAGTATGGTGCTTTAAAACCTTTTGCCTCCTCACATCCTCAAACTTCATGTGCTGTATTTTTATTTATAATTAACATTGACTGTTGGTTTCCTGATTTATCTATCTTCATGAAACTTGGGCTTGTTTAGATGTTGCAGTAGAGCAGTACAATAGTTTGTTTTATGTTTTCTTTCCCTAAACAACATCCAGAGTTCGTTTTACTGGAGTTTATGTTGACTGCTACTATTTGACTATTTGTATTCTGTTGCTTTGACAGTGGTATTTGGTTTGTTAAACAGGTAGACCACCAGCTGATTTTTGAATTAGAATCCAATCAACCCTTTCTAGAAGGTAAAGAAGGCACGGCTCGGCATCAAAGACATACTTGATTTTGTAGCTCTATCATATGATGAATGAATAGATTTTTATCATGTAAAAACTGTTGCATAGCAGTATGAGATTTTTTATCTAAAGGAAATTTCATTTCATTGCCGAAACCTTTTTTGTCCTCTTGTGAAACCCTGTATTGGGAATCTACCCACAATGCCAGTCACAATAATTAAAAACGATTATGAAATATGAAACTTCCATCTTTTGAGAAGTCCACATTAATACGGATTTAATAACATTTCATTAGATATCTTTGTGTAATTGATCTGCCCATAATTAAGGACCTAGAAGATCCCAATAGTCTTCATGACTTGCACTGAACAAGTGAACAAAGACAATAACAACCAAGTCAGCATTCTAAATGAACACTATATAGATCAATCACTGCGATTGATCCAATTGCAGTCCAACTCTATGTTGCCACCCCTTTTATTAGCACTGAAATAGAATCACTGCAAATTTGCAATTCGTTATTCCTCCAAACACAATCCAACTCTATGTCACCAACTCACCACCCCAACTATAAAGTTTGATAGTAGCAAAACTACAACTAATTCAACTGGTTGTCAGTATGTCATTAATCACAGTAGTTAGTTCCATGATAAGCAGATTAGCACAATATATACAGATTCATTAGCCATACCTTTCTCTGCTTGCTAACCAAAACATCGACGTAGATTAAATACAGATATACAATATACACAGATTAGCTCAACCAATGTGTTAGAATTGGTCCTAACATCAATACACCATTTTACACCACCAAACAATGCAAACTAACTAGTATGGACTCCCTTCCCTCCAACTCCATTTTCCTACTGATCTTCAACTGAGAAATCTGGCTCTGTTGGCTTCTGAAGTAGCATGGGTGATATTCTCTCTGGCAACCTTGCTTTACGTGCCCCATTTTTCCGTAAAGCACGAAGTGCATTTGCAGCAAACCTTGAGGCATAAATTGTAGCACCCAAACTTGGTGAGGAGCTACCGGCTTCCCTTGCCAATGCATCTTGTAAACGATCCTCCTCTTCCTTAAGTGACTGCTCCATTTTCTTCCTATGGTACCGCCTCCAGGCTGCCTGTATAAAGCAAGCCGCCCAAGTCCTCCACTGTTGGGAATAAAACCTGAAAGTGTGTCGAAGTTGCTTGCTGTGAAGTCTTCGGAATTGAGAGGCCACAAATTTCAAGTCTTCAGCCATTAAAGCAAAAGCTTCAACTTCTGTAAGGGTCTGGACCGTTCGAGTTGAAAGAGGCAAGTTGGATGATGGGCTAGGGTCTAGGGCCCAGGTGAGTAGTTCCTCACCACAGAAATCACCAGCTTTCAAATATTCAGAATTAAAAAACCCTGTTCGTCCGCCATTAGTAGTTATAGTTAGCAGTTTGCCACGCATAACAAAGACCATTGCATCCACTGGGTCTCCTTCCCGGATGACATAACTATCTTCTGTATAAAGCACTGGCTTGAGGAAGTCACACATTGCATCCAGCAGCTGATCGTCCATTTTCTCAAACATTGGAACCTAGAAGGCGATAGCAAAGAATGAGATCTCTAGATATGATTTACATGTTGTTAACCACCAAAAAAATTTCCCACCCACCCTCTTTCAACTGTCTCTCCTACTCCACTGCCTTCTAACACAGCCTACCTGAGTCCCTTGCCCTCTCCTCTACCCTCCACTCCCCAGTCCCCACCAAAGCATCCTTCACCTCCTCTGCAGTGGAGGGAGTTAGAGAAGAGGAAATGCACTATGTTGAAGAGTAGGAGGGGGAGGCTAAGACGGAGAGGAGGCTGAGGAGGAAAGAGAGAGTTGATAATGGGGATGTGGGGGTACTACGGAAGAAAAAGGGTCGTAAGCAAAACATAAGCATGTATTTGGCAATTCAGTTTACTTTCATAATTCGCAAGTATGTCTTATATAACATTTCATATTTATTATTCAATATGAAAGAGCAACAAGGGAACTCACTCTAGTAACCAGATCCAAGCAAAGGTGACGCTTAATGTCCCTCCGTAAATCCTTTGGAAGGTTCTGGATTAACCTCTCTTCATCCACACCTCTTGTTTCTTGCCACTTGTATTGTTCATACCGCCTGATCCTATCCCTTAAATCCTGAGGGAGAAGACGGTGTGACATCCACTGCTCTGCATCTCGCTTTTTCACTCTCATTTCCTCTAGTCGTGTTGTTATAGATTGCAAATACGTCTGTCATACCATTAAGTATTATTAAAACATTTCTGAAGACAAATGTCCAACATAACTAAGAAGCAAAATGCATTACGACTTAGAAAGCTTTACAAAATAAAGTTGAGGCACTTCAGCACAATCAATGGAGGAAGTTCTCAAGTTAGTTGGCTTTTACGTCCACTATCAACTATGCCAATGTACAACCACAAAAAAAAAAAAAAAAAAAAAAAAAAAAAAAAAAAAAAGGTAATGTTCAAAACCCACCTGCATATTTCCAATAAGAAATGCAAACAGCACCAGACCAGCTATGGCAATCAAAATGGCAAAGCAATTCTCCCAGATATAGGTACTTGTTTGAAGGTTTTGACCAAGTGAGCTGCAAATGGGAAAAATCAAACAATATCAACATAGCCAGGATAAAAATACTCAAAACAAATATTTTTCTTCAGAAAAATCAAATATAAGGAAATCAAGAAAAAAAAATTGTGCTAACCTCAAATTTTGCAGGCCCCACCAGAAACAGAATAGGAATTTCTTTGGGAAATCCTTTGTCTCCACTACACCAGATGTAAGGGCATTAAGAAACATTCCAAAATCAAAGGGACCTGGTTTATCAGGGTCGATAGAGCAGTACTCATTCAAATAAGTGTTATTTCCAGAACCCACGCCACAATATAAAGAACCAATATCACAATGAGATAGTTGGAGCTTTCTACAGGCTTTTTTCCAGCAAGTAGTTTCCCGTTCAATAGAAAATAAGTACCAAAAAGCACCAACTACCTAATGAGAATCAACAAAGATAGAGGATTAGAAATTAATCATGAAACATTATTTAGAAAATAAGCTAATATAAACTAAAAGGAACATCAAAGAAGAAAACCATGCATTTACATGATTATCCCAAGTCCAAACCCATTTGAAAAACATAGGTGTCAAAAAGAAGGGGAAAAAACCTATAAAGCCATGTTCAGTATCGCTGCCAATTTGGTTTTAAATTTCAAATTGTATAGCAAGTTGTTTAGTGAACATAAAAAGGGCCATAAGTACCAGTTATGCTAAAATTGAAAACTTAAAACCACATTTCCTAGTTTCCAAACATGCTTTAGTTTCAAAAAAGTAATTGAAATTTTATAATAATAACAAACAAGCCCTAAACATGCAATTCTGTCTAGTGGTAGTCTAAAAAGACTATAATCCATAATCATCAAATGTGGAGAAAAAAGTGGCGATAATAACAGCAAGTGACTAACACCAAGTGGAAGACAAACAACAACAATCAACATAGTATGTTACACGGGAAATGTGTCAACATCTATATCATAATAACAAACAAGCCCTAAACATGCATTTCTGTCTAGTGGTAGTCTAAAAAGACTATAATCCATAATCATCAAATGTGGAGAAAAAAGTGGCGATAATAACAGCAAGTGACTAATACCAAGTGGAAGACAAACAACAATCAACATAGTATGTTACACAGGAAATGTATCAACATCTATATCATAGAGAAACTCATTCAAACAAACAACACGTACAACCAAAAAGGTTCATAGTATATGCAAAATGAAACACCATTCAATACAAACTTATATATTAGATTCACAAATTTCATATACCACCCTTTCTCAATTTAGAAAGGTAGTACAAAATGAAAACAAGTAGAAGTTGTTGTGAAGTTTCTCACTCACATGACTTGCAAGCATGTAAAGCAAGAGATTAAAGGCCGCACTAGCCCATGCTGTTTCAGTCAAGATGCCAGAGGTTCTAGTAACTTCTTTGTATAGTGGGAAAACTCTAAGAATCCTTGGAACATACTGAAAGACTACAATAAACTTTAGCAAGTTTTTTGTGTTTGCTGATCTGAAGCCTCCCAATTTGGGTATGATAATTAAGATTGCCACCTGCAAATAATAGTATAAGTGCAACAATTAACCAACCAAATAAAATAAGGTACTAAGAAATACTCTGTCGACCCATAAATAACAAACCATAAGTCAATCTATTTTAGGCATTCCCAATACAGGTCACTTTCAAAATTTAGATAGTTTAATATTAAGATTTCCAATTTACCCTTAAATACAGCCTTAAAAACAATTTTGAAGAAAGATAACAATTAAAAGGTAGAAACATAAAAAAAAATCTACTTAAGTATAGTAATGGATTTTAAACTCAAATACTTTAAGAAAAACAAAAAAAAATCCCCAAACAAATTTACAAGGACAAAGGGAACAAAAATAACTTAAAACCAACTTCCTATAAAAGTCACTTAAGGGCGATATGTTCTCTAGCAATACACAGAACCATAAATTTCATTTTTTTTTAAAAAAAACAAAACAAAACAAAAAAAAAATTCATCTGACACAATTACTTTCATAATGGAAAAAATTTATTTCAGTCAAGCTATTTTCACTACATGTGGAAAGCACAGTCAAACAAAACATTATTTGTTTTTAAGCAAACTGCAATTCATTCAGAATTATCCCTAAGGTGGCGACCATCAAAAGAAAATAGAGCCTCCCCAATTCCTATCATTTGTTCCTTCCAATATAGCCAGAACAACTAAATAGAGATCTCTGTAGCACAGGCATTCCTTGAAGATCAAAGACTAAAGAGGAAGTATTAAGGAATGAATAAGGGGAGTTAACCCAAACCACAACTATAGCAATGGCCAAGCAGAATACCAAAATTATTTAAAAAAAAAAATACATGTATGGCTGGTTTTAAGGAAAAGTAATGCATACCTGTGGTAAGGGAAGTACAGCAAGAATGTCAATCCAGAAGTATGAAGAAAGATATCTTTTTGCAATTGCCTTAGCATCTTCAACTAAAACCCCTCTGCCAAATACCCGAGAAGAGGGAGCAATAAAACCAGTTCGAAATTGAAAGATGATATGAAGCAAGTAAAAAATATCAGTGAAGGACCGCAAAACGCTGGCTGTTATCTCTAACTTATGGTCCAAATCCAGGCATTTTTTATCGCCATTAACCACAGGGATGTAGAAGAATAAAGGATCTATTGATACTGCAATAAAACAGGATAATACAAATATCTTATTCCATTTCTGAAGAAAGGCGCCTTGTGGATCTAGCACTTTCTTTTTAGGCCATGACTCACGTAAAGAACTGCCACTGAGAGATTTGCTGATCCATTTAAAACGTTGAGGAAAGGAACTGCATCCTCTTTTGAACCTATGAGAGATCGAGCCTATTGCCCTTCTAAAATTGCCAAATCGAATGTCATCTTGCACGTAAAACTGCCCATCAGCACTTTTCTGAGGAACCCAGTCCTGAAACCTGAAGTAGACACCCTAGGCAGTCAGTGCAGCCCATTTACAAGCTAATTTAAAAGTGACAGTCAAATAATTTTTATTTTATTTTTTTATTTATTTTTTTTTTGGTGGGGGGGGGGGCAAGTTTCTTAATAAGTACGAGTATATAGACAAATTTAACAAGGGATTGAATAACAAGCATCACCTTGAACAATAACTGGGAAAATATGAAAAGCACATTCAAGAAGCGTAGCTAAACAAAGCATCGTTAAAGATATAGAAAGTGCTAAGATACAACCGCAAAGGTTCTACAAATATGGCTTTGAAATTGTTAATACAATAAAAACTATCACTTAGACGGCTAAAGTACAACTATCAACCCCCACCCCCCGGCGCGCCCTTACAGAAAATACTCCCTCCGATTTGTGATAAACACATTATCAATTCCCATATGACTGTTGATGACACTGAGGGACATTTGGACAGAACCCATCAACATGGTGAAAAAGAATAAGAATTACAAATGCAGGTAGTGTACTAGACATGAAACATAGGCTAGATATCAATCTATAACTTAAAAATCTTATTCATGTCAGATATCTACCAAAGTTCCATCCAAAATCATAAAAGGTACCAAACATTACAGATGCATACACAGTTGCACACAACTTGCATCCTCCGGCAAATTGGAAAAAATGAAAACACACCAAAATGAGGTAAGACATAGGCCTAGCTCTTTCCGCATTATAATATAAAATTATGGGGAAGTAGATACAAAATGAGAGATTACAAAAAGAAAAGAACCAATCCTTGATCAAGGAATAACTAACACACACAAATAAATAACTAAGAGAAATCCAACCTGACAATCTTCTCCTGGTTGTACTTCATCACTTTAGCTGGTAACACTATCACCAGAAATAATGATTAAAATTATGATCCTAAGTAGGAAATAATTGCTCCATGAACTTAAGTCTTCTGTTTCCTTTCAATTTCTGCAATGCAACAAACAAATTGTCAAAAATCATTACAAATGACACCTAAGAGTTTTAATATACAATTCACTAAAACCTTTAACTCAAAAACAGTCAGCAATTAATTCAAATAACATCAAACAATCAACCTATGAACCAAATCCCTAAAATCCAACCAAATTTCTCCTAACACTAAGGCAATAGGGATCCTAGAGCCTAGATGCAAAACACACCCTAATTGAAGCGCGATACTTAGAATTAAAGGTTAAGTGTGTCAAAACAGGCTACAAACCATGAAATTAAAGCAACCAGTATGCCATTTCAAGCGACTAGAGCACGCCTCATCAATCACTATTAAGGAGGGTCCAAGAGGAACACAACTTTAACACCAAAGTCCAAATCAAACTACACAACTCCTCCACTCCGCCGCGCTACAAACACCAACACCCTTCCCCACAACACAACACCCTAAAAAAAACACTGAAGTATGATTATTCACAAACCCAGATACATACTGTAAATGCACCAACATCAAGCAATACCATGTGAAATTAGAAAATTAAGAAAGTAACAATGACCCATTAACATAACACATTAAAAATCCAGTTACAATTAATAAATTACGAGTATTAAGGAGGATAATACTTTGAAATAATCAAATTAAAGCACAAAATGCAAAACCCATAATTAATTTCAAACAAACATATATTCCTTCCCACTGTCACTATTTAATTAAACAAAAAAATTAAGAATTAAAAACAAATCAATAACTTAATCAAACCAACAACCAAATATACTATACAGAAATTACAGAATATGAAACTAAACCCGCAATTAAAGCAAATTACTTAATTAAAGAACAAGAAGTAATTACTATATAGTACAACTTGAAGTATAATTAATCACTGAAAAAATGCAAACTTGAAAATAAAATAATCAAAGAAATTAAACTAAACCTACCATAATAGGCAGTAGGGATTTGGGAAGAGTGTGATGAAAGATAAAGAATTAAACTTTGAATAAATATTGTTGATTTAAAAGAAAAATAATGGAGTATTTTGAAGTTTCTGTGACAATTTCTTAATGGGGGGAGAAACGGAAGTTTCGTGGAGACCTTCAAGATCAATAGTACCAACCTTTTTGTTTTACTTTATTATACTATGAAATATAAAAATAGATTCAATTTTCAGTAATATTGGTTTTATAAAATAATTATGGATTTAAATGACCAAAATGATGAATTTTCTACCAATGGAAAGTAAGAAAATGGATGACAAAATGTGAAATAGACAGGAGATAGAGGGTGGGAAGGAAAGGGTCAAACCGTCAAAAGGGTTTGACATAGTCCTTGTGTTTTGTGGGCCCAGGTGTAACTAGTACAAATTACTCATTAGATTAACCAAATAATTTTGCAATTTAGATTCTTAATCAATTGTGTATTGTGAATAAAATACAACACTCGTAAGTATAAGTTCGACTAAGCTCAATAAAAGTGAGGGCTTTATGCACATCAGAAAGGTTTAATGAATGTCAACTAATTTAATTGGTTAAAGTTTTAGATGGTACTCAAAACCTGAAATCGAATCTCATCTACATCATTTATCCTTGCTAATCTATTTACACCAACAAAAAATGAACTCATAACAAGTCAACAGTTCAAACTCTTATCGTTAGGCTAAGCTTTGGTTGATACGATGTAATCACATATGAAATGAGTTTTCTTAAAATAAAGATTCACTCATTTGGCTAAAACTTTACTTCAGACACTAAAGCTTTAGGGTTAGATCTTAGTAAGTGCAAGTGCTTATATGAGGGTATCCACGTACCCCACTCCCGTAGTTCAAATTAGCTAAGTTGTCGTGAAATAATACGAGAGGTAAGCATGATAATAGATTACGGCTTGTGGACGGATGAGAGCATGACAAATCTTGATAATCTTCTGAGGGATAAGTCCTTGTGCATGGGCGAAGGTAAGACTTGTTTGGGTGTTCGACCAGGCTTTACACTAAAGTATAAATGATGATGATTAAATACTTAGACCCTGTTCACTTCACGTTAAAAATATAATATTTAATAAAAATAATTTCAGTTCAGCAAAAATAATTTCAGTTCAGCAAAAGACATGGCAAGGATTTATTTTCAAAAAATATCTTCCTCTACCATTACACAGCCTGAAAGTCATTTACTAGCCAACTTCTTCTACCCTAAAACCGTTGATCCTGACCAGGTAGCCAACCTAGGTACCATTCCCCTACCGGATAAGATAAAATCTAATCTTATGGCCATGAATTTCACTAATTCCCCGGGCCTTGATGGAATTTAAGCCATCTTTTTCCAAAAAAAATTGGGATAGTATTGGAATTAGTATATTTAAAAATAATTGAAGTTCGGTAAAAATCAGTAAACTTAAAGAAGAAATATAATAGAAAATCAGTAAAAATAATTTCAATTCAGTAATTAATTTAAGTTCGGTAAAAATAATTTAAGTTCAGCAAAAAAAATTTCAACTTAGTAAAAAAAATTTCAATTCAGTAAAAATAAAGTAAAGTAAATGAGACCTTACTAGGTTGTAAGTAAGCATCAATTTTCATAAGCAAACACTTGGGCCTAAAAGAGCAATGAGCCCATTTAGCTTTGAATTTGGTGTAATCCACTTTTTTTTTTCCAATTCCTTCCCATAAATGCTATTAATGCCACGCTGTCACTCTTCTTCTTTGCCAAAATTTCAAACTTATAAACTTCCCCTTTTTTCTCACTTAGTCTCTCAAAAACTGCAAATATCACCTTTTCTCTTTCTCTCTCTAGGGTTCCAAATTCTCTCTCTATCATTTTCTAGAGAGAGGAAATTCAAAGTCTTATTAAAGGAATGTTGCCTATTCGCCCTTTAGATTCCTCTTGATTCCTTTAGATCGGTATTTTCTGCTACAGATTCGATTTCTTTTGTTTTTTTTAACGATTGATTGAATTTTGGGTTATTATAACAATTATTTGATTAAAATTTGGGGAAATTATTTGATGGAGGATCAGAAGAATGTCTTAGAGCTCCAACAAGATGAGAATAGTGTCTTGGAGCTCCAACAAGACCAGAACAATGACATGGAGCTTCAACAAGACCACAACAGCGGCGCTCTGTACCATTTGATGGAGGTAAATTTCTTAAGTTATTTCTCATTTCATTTTGACTTGGGATTTTCCATTACTTAGGTTTTTTCTTTCTTGTGTAGCTTGTCCGAAGCCATGCTATGCCTGTCGCGTTGAATGCAATCGATCGAGAGGAGAGGCTTCAGCTCAAGGGTGAGCTGAAAGAGGCCACCAGCAAAGTAAATGCACTTCATTAGAGACACGAGGCTCTGCGTGCTAACGTCGAGAGAGATCTGGCCGAGCTCCAAAATTCTGTGACTGATGGCTTTGAACAACCAGATACACGAGCTGACCAACAACCTTGGTGCTACTTAGTCCGAGCTAAGCGAGGTGAAACTGCAGCTCGAGGCCTCCGCTAAGCTGGTTGGTCAACGGGATGAAGAGTTGGCCAAGATAAAGGAAAAGAAGCTCAAGTTGTTCGCGGCCTATGAGAAGAGCTATAATGGTGGCTTCAACATGGCTCGAAAGCTCGTCTTTCATCTCATGCCGAATATTGATTGGAGGTAGATCGAGAATTGGGCCTCTAATAATTCTCCTCAGATGAGGGTCACCAACCGAGCCGAGCAGAACTACTTAGACGCTCTGGCTGCTGAGGGGAGCTCCTCGGATGAAGAAGAAAATCTGAACCAGGTTGGCATTTCATCTCAGCCCTCTGCCTCTTAGGTTGAGCCAAAGGACTCGAATGCCAAAGCATAGGAACTCGGGCAACCGTCTTCAGAATCGTGCAAATCATCCTAGCCTTACTTTGCCGAATGTCGCGTTTCTATTTTGCCTCTTCTTGCCTTATACAGACTCTATTTCTTTTTGTGTTCTTGTTTTGGCAGCTGTGTTTTCCGACTTGTTGGCGGCTGCCGTTGTCTTTATTCGTATGTATTTGCTTTTCAGATTCACGTTTATATCCAAGCATCATCTTTGTTACTTAAGTGTTTCTCTTCGGAACGCTCTTTTTAAGTGGCATCAATCCGAGCCGCTTTTCTGCTTTGTTTAACTTTGTTAGGCTATGAATTGACTAGGACATGCCACGTGGTAGAAGATGCCAAGTAAGCATGTCCAAGTGGATTAGATAGCTGACCGGGCTTAGGCATGGAGAGGCTCGTTTCCCTAGACTTTAGGATTAAGACCTTATGGGATATATGAGTATAAGACCATTAAATGGACCGCCCCAAATAGCCATATTAGACCCAAACACCTAATAGTAAGGTATGAAAATCTCATTTCGGACATAAATCGAGAAGAATCTATACTTATATTCTAAAGCAATTCCCGTAGTTATCCCCTAAGTACATGTGTCATCACCTTATTAAATTTTTTTTTTTTTGGTTTGTTATTGAAACAAGTTTGTTACTATGTCTCAGGGAGAAGCTGTTACCTTATATATTTAGGAAATGATATCCAACAATAATAATTTAGATTAAATAAAAAAAATTTGTGGTAAAGAATAAGAAATGCTACGTAATATTATAAAATACTACTTAGGATATCAAAAAGTATTTTAATTAATTTTTTTTTTTGTTATCAACAAGAATAACATGAATAGTGAGTATTGATTACTTTTTAATTAACAACAAGCATATTCTTTCATATTATGAATACTAAAATATTATTACTCATTCCATATCACATTAATTGTACTATAAATTAAATTTAGACATTGAGATTAATCTTATGGTATATCCCAATGTTTATTGTACTTTTTTTTTTAATGTTTTTTTATTTCTAATGATTTCATTTTATACAATTTTTAATAAACGAATAATGAAAAACTATTGTAAAACCGCGAGTTTTGAACTAGTATGAAGGGATATTTACAAAACAAAGAGAGAGGTTGATGTATTTGTTACTCATTGCTAGGCAGTGCAACGCAAGTATGCATGCAAGTTATTATCACTGGTGTTTTGGTCTATTTTGGTAAATTTATTTAGAACACGACTTACACTGTTGTTAGATTATGAACGAGTTATTTCCCTAGAAATTGCTAAAACATAAATTAATTCCCTAATTACGTCGGTTTAAAAAACTTATTCCCACGGTACTGTCCACGAAGGACTGGTAGAAGGCTCGTTAATTTTTTTTTAAAAAAAAATTTTGGTTTAGAAAAGAACCACTAACATCGTTAGCGATTTTAACCTGTGAGCCTGCCAATAGTTAATTACAGCTATATTGACCTGTTAAATAGAAAGGCATAATGACTAAAAGAAGTTGCGACAAAAAAACAGAAAAAAAAAAAATGCAATACAAAATTTTATTTACTCAAATATAAAGTCCATACGCATTACTCAAATGCTACTTTGGGTTTTGGGTGATCATCAATTGCTTTCCTTTTTTTTTTTTGGTTTTTCGTAGAACAAAGTCAGAAGGAATTTGAAAGAGTAATACAAGTGTGGCATTATTTAATTACAAGAACCGCTAATGATGATGTATAGAACCGCTATGTAATACCCTGTATTTTGATACGTATTTTCTAATAAATTAATTATTATTTTCTAAAAAGGGTATTTTAGTAATTTATTTTACTATTTGAATTTTGGAGCCAAAATGATATTTGAATTTTGGCGCCAAGAGTATTTTAAAACTTAATTATTATTTATGGATTTTGAATAAGATTTATTATCAATTTATTTTATTTTAAAAACCGGATTATTTATATATATTTCGGATATTTTAATTAAGCAAAATTATATTTCATTATTTAATTGAGAGGTCCGAAAATTCCTATTGATTTGGCTATGATTTTCTAGTGTGGAAAATCTGATTTCCTTAGCTAAATTATTTAGTGAATAATTGGTATTCTCTTAATTAATTATTTTATATAAAATATATTATTTATACAATTATTTTTAATCCCTTAAATCTAGCAAAATAATTCCCTAAATACTACATAGGGTGTCCGAAAATTTGAGCTATGGAAGCTCAAAAATTTCGGCCACCTTGGTGGATTTTTGGGTGAATTATTTTGGTAATTTGTATTTTTAATTATCTCCCTTAAATCTATTATCTCCCTTAATTCTTATTTCCCATCTTCTAAATATTTGATCATCTTATTTCCCTACCTTTTATCATCCTTGATTATTCCCCAAGCAAACACCTTTTGCGATATTATTTCTCACGACAACATACTTTCCTTAATTTTACCATTCTTAGTCACCTTATTATTAAACTTTCCATAATTCTTAAACTCTCTTCTCCAAGTAATTTCCTTAATTCTTTTTACCATAATTCTTCTTACATTCTCCTACCATAATTCTTGCATGAGCTAGCCTATAAATACCTATTGATTCATGGCTAAACACTCACACCAAATTCTCTAATTCTCTATTAATTTCTCACTCATTCTCTTCTCTTTCTCTTGTTCTTGCGCCAACCACCACCACCAAACACCACAACCACCACCTCCGGCTGCCACTTGCCGCCGACCACCACTTCCGGCTGCCAACTGCCATCGACCACAGCCACGACAGCCACCAGCTGCTGCCCTGGCCGCCACCTTCTTCTCCCTTTGTCCTTGGTTTTCTACCTCTTCTTCTTTTCTTCTCTTATTTAATTATTATTATTATTATTATTATTATTATTATTATTATTATTATTATTATTATTATTATTATTATTATTATTATGGGGGATTTATAAAAATTATTATGAGTAGTTTTAATTAAATAAAATCAGATTTTTATTCAAGTTTATGAAAAATAATGTAAAAGGTTCATGTACATACACTTGGGGGGGGGGTTAATTTAATTGTTGTGATTATTTGTTAACCTTATATTAATTAAGGTTATATTTATTTGTAGGGTGTGTTTGATCGAAGTTCTTGAAAGTTCCTTTTTGTTGCTAGCAAGGATCAAAGGTACGTTTAGGTGGCTAGATAGCTTAGAAATTGATTGGATTGAATAAGCATGTTTTATATGATTTTTATGATGATTGAATTAAATTGAATTGAATTATGATTTATGAAATAAAAGCATGTTTAAATAATTGGTTTTGATAAATAAATTGGAGGATTGATTTTTCATATCATGTTTTGAATAATTAAAATTATTTATTATGTTTAAAGGGTTTGATTTTGAAAGCATGTGGAGTTAAGTAAAAAGGAGTTTTGAATTATATTGGAATTATTGAATTAAAAAGGATTTATTGAATTAATTTTATTATTATTAAAGCTTTACAAGCATATTGATAATAATCCCACTATGCGGATTTGGTTGATAAGACTTTGAACTTTGCATGACCGAGTCTTTTCTCGAGAATAGCCTTGAAATAGTAGGAGACTAGCTTGGGGGGTGTGCACACTTGGGTGAGGAATTGAATTTTAAAAGAGGAGTTGGTTTTTATTAATAAATTATTTGAAATATTGAATGATTGGAATTGGTTTTGGAATATTGAGTTTGGAATTATTGGAATTGGTTTTTAAAAGCATGTTTGCAAATAAATTGTGTTTACTTATCTTGCACTTATCGTACTTAACGTATTTTGCTAATCTGTATTTTCTATTTGTTTTGGTTCGCCCTGTATACCTTAATGGTAAGCAGTGTTGACTATTTTCAGGTGGAGTCAATATTTGAGCATATGGGAGTCCCGGGATGTTCTTCACCTAGATTAGGAATGTTGGACGTTGTTTATTTATGAGTACACATGACAATATTTCTATTTATATATATTATTAATAAATAAAAAGTTTGAGTTTCCGTTGCAAAGTATTGGTTTTGGTCAGTAGTTTTGGTAGCCTTGCGTAATCACGCGGCGGTAATACGCTTAAGTCTATCTCTACGGTATAATTATACATATTATACTGATATTTTCGTAGAGGGAGATTTGGGGGTGTTACACCCTATCACCGTTAGCGATTCTTTCCTGAACTAGAAAAACAAAAGGAAAAAAAAAACCGAACCTTGTACTAGTCCTACGTGGATAGTACCGTGGGAATAAGTTTTTGGACCGACGCAATTAGGGAATTAATTTATAATTAAGCAATTTCTACGGAAATCATTCGTTAGATTATACTACCTCCGTTTTTTTAAGTCGACCTGTTTTGACTTTAGCACTATTCACACGCTTCCCTTTGACCGTGTTTTGTGCTTTATACATGATGAAAAAATAGTCACGTGAGATCTTGTTAGATTCGTCACGATATATTTATTCAAAATATCAACTTTTCATAATTTTTGCTTATGGGTAATTAATGATATTAATGGTTGAATTTGTGTATTAGCAAACGTGACTAAAGAAACGTGTCAACTAAAAAGAAACGTAGGAAGTATATGCTTGATTACTTTGGACTAAATATGGCAGGAATCTACAATCAAAGGATGAATGTATAAACATTTTATGAAAGTTTTAGAGAATTCATGTGATTAAGCTTGTGTAGTTGCTACAATGCTATGGAGTACTAGCTAGCATTGTATAGTTGGTACTCCCTCCGTATTTTATTACTTGCTCTACTTTTTTTTGCAGTCTTATTTTTTTACTTGCTCTAGTTTTTTTTTTTTTATTTTTAAAAAAACTTTTTACACTATTTTACTAATTTATTATCTCCTAGTGGACCCTCAAATATCATACAGAGTAATTTAATATTTCTAGATTCTGTCTTATCCCAGCTATCGTATTTTATTCTTCTACCAATCTCACCTTTTTTATATTTTATTACTTTATACTATTTGTTCTAAAATTGTGCGCATATAAAAATAAAGCAGGTAATAAAATGAAGAGGGAGTACAATTTTATTCCTTCATAAAAAAAGTTTTCTTATAAATATATCCAATGCAATAGCACGGGCAAGTTCGAGTTTGGATAGAAATGCAAAATGGGCATGAGCCCATGATGCACCCTATCAATCTATCATCCATTCATCCTTCCCAATCAAAGCTGTTAACAGTAGATGCATGAATAATGCCACGGTGTCAGTCTCATTCTTTGCCAAAAATTCACACTTAATTTGTTTTCCCTTTTTTCTTCTTTCTTTCCCTCTCTCTTAATCTGTCAGTTTCTCTCTCTATCTCCACCATTCCTCACTCACTCTCTCAAAAACTGCAAATTTCACCACGCTCCAGATCACCTTTTCTCTTTCTCTCTCTAGGGTTCCAGATTCTCTCTCTTTCTATCATTTTCTAGAGAGAGGAAATTCAAAAGCCTTATTAAAGGAATTTTGCCTTTTCTTTCTTTAGATTCTTCTTGATTCTGATCAAATTTTATATGAACAATTAAATTTATCCATAATCGCAGACGTAGATAGGTATCTTCTGCTATAGATTCGATTTTTTTTTTGTTTTTTCTTCGTTTTTTATTGTTTTTTTGACGATTGATTGAATTTTGGGTTACTATCACAATTATTTGATTAAAATTTGGGGAAATTGTTTGGCGGATCTGTAATTATTGTTTGGAATTGTGATTTTTTGTCTCAATTTGATTCGATTATATTGTTTTGAAGTTGTGTTGCTGATTACCCAAGGAGTAACGTCGTGTTACTGTAAGTTCATTTTGCACTTAGTTTTTGTGTTTTGTTTGAATTCAGCTTGAAGTTTTGTATATGATTGTGTTTGTTTGAATTCCCAAGGTTTCGCGTTGTTTCGAAGTGATTATTTGATGTCATATGCTTATTCAAATTTATAAGTTGTTGTTATTTGATTAGTTGAGGTGTATAGAGAGTGTCAGATGTTGATTTCAGCCTGTAACCGTGTTGCACATTTAGTACGATGATCAAGTTAAGTGGTAGAAGTTTTTCAGCTTGAAATTTGGATGTTGTTTCAGTTTATCTTAGATAACTTTTGTGTTTTTTTATTTTATTTGGAATACTAGAATTGTCATTCATATTAAGTAATATGTTGATGGAATTATGCAGATGTGTTTGTTATTGCCTGAGAAAGTTAGGCCAGTTTGGTAGAATTTGATGATATGCAGCAGTTCTATAAAAAATGTTATAAATCAAGTCGGGTGCATCGGGGTTCTTTCCAGAGGAAGTGTATGGCTAGGAGTTACTGGACGAGTTTTGCATGACAAACGTAGTCCCTCGTATTCCTTCAATTGTGAGATTAGAAGGTTCAGGGCAAGTGGAAAAATGATGGTTGATACTGATTCCATGCAAAATCGCGGTTCTGTAGTGGGTGTCTTGCCAGAGAAAGGGGAGAATGGTGGCTATGCTAGTGGTGGATGCAAAAGGTGAATATCTTTGTGCAGATTTATTCTAGATTTTTTATCCCTTCCATGCAGGAACTTGATCGTCTAGAACTTAATGACTGCTGCATATTACAAGTATCAGTGTAATTAATTGTTTATGGCAAAGGATTGCTGAGAAATTCAAGTTGATGTCTGTATCTGTTACATTTGAATCTCTCATTGCTAATTATCGTTAAATATTATTAAACTAGGTGAAACATATTTTTTTTTTCAATGCTCTTCCAAGGGCTGAAAAGAGAATGTTTTAACGCCTGATCGACTTCAGGATTAATGTTTCCTTTACGTTATTTGGTTGTCTCCAGCTGTATGCTGTTCATCACTTTTGTTTGTTGTCAGACTGAACGTTTTGTTTAATGCTAACTATCTTATTTTGTTTTAAATTTTATTGGCTTAGCAAGTTTATGTCACCGGTTTCTACTGGTCACTACCAAACATGGCTTTCATTGAATTTTATAGCATCCTATTGTTTTTGTCATGTCAAATTTACGTCCTTTTTATAAATAAAACTATTAATGGATCCTTGGTTTGCCTAATCAAATTTAGCCACCTATTTGCTACTTGTATGTTCCCAAATTATAGCTGATCTTGTCAGATTGCTTTGAATTAAGGTTTCACATCATACTTGGGTTGAATGAACATAGCACACCCCTTATTTTTTTGTTAACAACGGACAAATCCTCTTCTTAATTACAATTTTTTGCAAGTTACCCATTCGTATTCTCTATTAAAAGCTACCCCAAAACAATTTTTAAACATCAAGAGACAATGGTACCATTGTTTTCTGATGTTTTCCTTGTGTAAGGGTTTGTTTTCTTGTTATTTTAAGAGGTATTTCATAGTGTTGAAATGAAAGAGCACTTCTTTGGCACACATTCTGCAGAGAATAACATTAAAGCTTGACCTCACTTAGAAATTGGCACTTGAAAGGCCTGGACCTCTATAACTGTGTGTTTTCCTGTTTAGGCAACTTTTCACCTCTTGATGTTATTATTTACTCTGCACAACTAGGTGTTTGTTCCCTTCCTTTCACAATTATAAGCATTGTGTTGCATTGGATGAGCCATTAGAAAAAGGCTCTCCTGCTCTGCATGACTCTCCATAGTTATCTTTAAAAAGAATAAAAAAATTTATCGTGGCATTTATGTAGATCAAATTGGTCTCGATTCTCCAAAGCTTGTTTGACAATATAACTTTGATGTGCCAATGTTATTTCTTAATGTGTTGATTTTTTATCTTTCTGCTATAGAATTACCTTCTGAATAAATAAACCATTCATTTCTGTTATTAAGTGGCATTGTACTTCTTGATTTTCTTCTTGTGTGACAGTGAAGATGGAAAGTTAAGCTGTGGATATTCAAGTTTCCGGGGAAAGAGAGCTAGCATGGAAGATTTTTTTGATGTCAAAATGTCTAAAAAGAATGGGAAGACTGTGTGCCTCTTCGGAATTTTTGATGGTCAGATATTCTATACTTGACTTGCAGCTTGCTTATTAGCATTCTGTTTTTGAAGAATTTGAACCATGTTAACGTGCATATTTAGATGCATCTTGCACATTTCCCTCTCAACCCTCATTCACTTTTATTATCCTTTGGGGTTAGGTATCTTTCTTTTGCAGTAAGTGAATTTGATTGCTGCATTCTGCAGTACTTATTAGCTTTTATCACCTTAAATGTCTTTGACATTGAAGCTGTATCATTTGTGGCCTGTTAGTAATCTTAGTATAGGGCATACCTACCCTTCTCTCTCTTTCCACCTTTATACTAAAGACTCTATTGCACGAACATAATGTGGACTTTAAGTTGGATCTCTGATAAGTAGGGGTTTTCAATCAATAAATGCAATCATTTTCATTACCTTGAGATGAAAGAGAAAGCTCTTATTCTAGAGTCTCATTAAGTTAGCTGGTAAATCTGCTGAAGGTTATTCACATTTGATCAAAAGAGATAATACTGTAAGTACTGTTAGTTGAATTAGCTAAAGAGTGTAGCGGTAGGATTTTGTACGGTCAAGACCTTTTAGTTATGTAAAGGCCATTTTGTGAAGCAAATATAGATGCATTCTGCAAGTCATTGCGCATATTGACATTGTTGAGCTCTTAAAAACTTGTATATATATTGTAGTTGCTACAAAGCTGGAACTTTTGTTTTATTTTTCATCATGAGTTGATAAAATGCTTAATGGTATGTCAAAATGTAATCTTCCTTTGTTTTGTTTTAGATGCATCACTTTAAAAACATGAATTTCTAGTCAGTTTTTGGAGATGAGAGAGATAGAGAGTAAGAAATAAGAGGACCCATGTGACGTGAGAGAGAGATAGAGAATTTATAAGCTTAAAAGGAAAGTGTTGCATGAGATTTGAAATTTCCTTATGTAGAAAGTAATGCTTCTTAACAGAAACGGAGGAAGTAGTGTGTCTCAGTCTTGATTTTCTTGAACGGCATATCAAATTGTTGATTTCCCCTCTAGTCAATTCCTGCAGTTATGGCTGTGAGGTCCAATATTAGACCCATGAGATGTGGAGTTGCTGCTTTCTTGACAGAGTTTTGTTACTGTATGTCTTTGGTTCTGCTTGGCAATTTGGCCTGCTTTAAGGTGATATATGCTGGAGTTTACAAGTTTCATATGAGAAGAGAATAAAAGTTCCCAGATGAGGAAGGATAGACTGTTGGAATTCCAACTTGAAGAAAGTGAACCTAAGAGAAGGGGTAAAAGCAAATTAAGTAAAAGCATTGGATTATACCATAGATTGTTTCTGTGGTATATGGTTCAACATGGAATAGCTTTATTTGCTTTGTTACTTATGATGTGATAAGCATAATGGTGTCTGTGTACTGAAATAGAAATTTTTTCTCGCTTGGCCTTATTTTTTACAATTGTTTTTAAAAGTTGCATCGTAAATATCTATTAATTTGGCAGCTCCTGTACTCAGGTCAAACTATAATTTTTATGTGCTGCAACGTTCTTATTAACTTACACAATTCTGTAGGAATGCTGTGCATTTTAGCTGATACAGTACATGACAGGAATTTATTCAATTATAATTATCTCTAACTATATGCCTGTTATGAGTGATTTTTTGACTTGTGTTGTGCTAGGTTCCCATGGACTTGGTACTATTGCCAGGAATAGCAAGTACCAAGAATATTAACATTAGGAAAGTGAATTTACTATTGGATCTATGGTTAACAAATTTTTTATGCTGTGTAGGTCATGGTGGTTCTCGTGCAGCTGAGTATTTAAAGGATTATCTCTTTGAGAATCTCATGAAACATCCAAAATTTATTGAGGACACTAAAGTGGCTATAAGTACGTTCCTATTTCGCTGTCTGTTGTGTTGAATGATAATTGATGCTCACGTGGCTGCATTAATTCTATGAACCTACGATTGCATGTTTTATTAACTTCTGTATCTTCAACTGTTAAGAAGGCCACTTTTCTTGATTGGTTACCAATGGATATTGTTAATTAGGTCACTTGCATGTGGCGGTTGTGTACTTTGTTCACGTGCCAATGTGTAATATAATTCCTGACATATAATATAGAGGCTCAAAATGTACATAAATGTATAATTTCAATTTAAATGAACATAAGAAGTTATTTCATAGAATAAACTCTTGTCCCGTCTTTATAAAATAAAAAAACAGTTTTGAATAAAAAACAGATTGTGCTCTTCTTTTGCTGAAATTATATCCTGTTTGTTATCTGATAAGTGGTCAATGCCCCAGGTGAAACATACAAGAAAACTGATGTGGAGTTCTTGGATTCTGAAAAGGATACATTCAGGGACGATGGGTCCACAGCTTCAACAGCGGTACTCGTTGAAAACCATCTTTATGTTGCTAATGTTGGAGATTCACGCACAGTAATATCCAAGGCTGGAAAAGGTTAAAAGTGTGAATATTTGTTTTGCTAAAATTTTTGGAATACATTGAAGTAGTTACCAGTGTATTCTTGTATGGTGTATTTTTTTTTAAAAAAATCCTGTTGCTTTTTAATGAAATTTATTGATGATTTTTCTATCATTGAACTGTATGGGGTGGAGATCATGTTTCTTGAAGAATCCCCAGTAATTATGAAAATTGAAAGACAGTAATTAAATTGTATCTTGGTTTACTGAAGAGGACTTTTGGGATTTAATTATTCTTAAATATACTGGAGATGGTTATTAGGATTAAACTCTGAACCAGCTCAACTAAATATTAGAAATAATGTTGGCAGGGTGTACATAGCCAATGTATTTTTGTCACTTGTATGGCAGGGATAACTGATAAATAAAAAAGAGAGATGAGTTTTCTGATGAAACAAAAGAGAAGCTCCATTATGATTTGTTATTGTTAGACCTTTTGACTATAAGTTGATGTTGAAAGTGTAAATTTTAGATAAAGAAGAGTGCTCAAATAATAAAATATACTTTCATGTGGATATAAATGGAGTGACCATGCAAAGCAAATCAAGTTCTTGCTCATTTAGCAAAACCTTGCTGATGTTTTAATTTGTTACCTCTCCACAAAAATGATTATAAGCTGTGGCTGATATATAGGATTCATCCTTATATGATTATATGCTATGCATGTTTGTGCAACATAAATATTTTACTGTTAATTTCTCGTCTTTAGCCTATATTGAATGGATTTGAAGGTCCTTGATATATTACGTCACTTATCTGAACAGCAATAGCCCTTTCTGAAGATCACAAGCCAAACAGACTTGATGAGCGGAAGAGAATAGAGAATGCAGGTGGTGTTGTAATGTGGGCAGGTGAGATCAACATCCATCGGAGGACTTCAGTATTAGCTTTTTCTTTCATTGTGTTAATTCTCTACAGATTTCTCTTATCCTTGTTAATTTATTGCCTGATGGCCAAATTGATCTTTTTGGGGAGGCTGCTCAAAGGGACATCTATCATATAAGAGAATGTATTTTCTAGATTGGTGTGCTCTCAAGAAATGCTGCTGTTGTGTGCTATGTGCTAGGTGCATAGCTTCTTTCTTGGGCATGATTGTCTGTGAGATTTTTTTTTACATATTTTCTCTCTTTCTAGAGTTGTAGATGTCTTGTGTACCAATTATGGAGTTTGTCTCTTATTCCTTGTAATGACCTTTTGGGAGGATTATGAAGGTCTGTTATGTTTGCATATCTTGTGATACTGAAGATCGATTAGTGTTGCTTGGTTTCCTGGAGACTTCTGCAGTTGCTAAGCTGTAGATACATCAGAATATCAGATACCTTGCCCTGTAGAAAGAATGGAGATAAAGGATGTAGCAGAATATTAGATAGGCTGTCTTGTTGACCTCTGTGGTAGTTATTTTCTCAAATTTCCGAATCATGATGACCTTTCTCAAATTCTCCCTTGGATATTTTGGTGCTTCAATATTGTATCATTTAAACAAAACGGTTTGGAGTGGTTTCCAAAAGAAAGTATCCAAAAGAATATTTTGTATAGGCCTATGTGGATTTTCTGCTGTGAGGAAGGTAATTGTTTGTTTTGCAATTTATATTTCCGGTGAGTTGCCACTTGCCCTTGAACTACTTAGACTCTTAATTCATAGTTATTTTGGCTGAGTGGTGACTTCTGAACTTACACTAGCGTCATTATATTAGCAGTTGGCTTCTGATAGTTTTCATTCAGCCTTGCAATTGGCAGTATGGAAATTGGAAAATGATCCTGCAGGTGAGTTGCTTACTGATTATCTGCCATTTGGCTGCCTTTTTCTTTTGCTGATATCATGCCAATGCCTCTAAAGAGGTTTCAGCTCCTTATGGGAGGAGGTGGATATCTGCAGCCTTAGTGCCTACTTTGCTATTAGATGGCTTTTCCAGCCAAGCATTCATCCTATGCTATGAGTGTTTATCTGCACAAGAAATTAGAACTGCGTGCAGTTTTATCAGCAATGCTAATTTAGTCTAGTATAACCCAAATGCCAATGAATAGTAAATTTGGACTCCACTAAAAATTGACAGATAAGTTGAGTGATTAGGCATTCAGTGTCGTTCTGTTTCTGGTATGTGATAGTTTTGGGACTTATACTAGTTGAAAAAAGAGAGAGATTATTGGGGAATTCGTGAAATATGTAACAATCTGAGAAATGAGTTATCCTGTACCTTGATTAGATATATACTTGTGTTGGGAGGCACTGATATTTGATTATTGCATTGATAATTGTTAATTATGCAATTGTTAATTTGTGTTGCAACTTGTTCTGTGTGTGATTCTTCTTTGCTTAATGGGAGCAAGATTATCCACAATTTTGGCTTTTTGTGAGCTATGCTTAGCTCCACCTTTACAAAAAGATCCATCTTACTAAAATGAGTACAAATTTGTAAACTAGTTAAATTTTTGAAACTTGTGCGGATTTGAGTCTGTATAGATAGCATGTGTGATCCAATCTCTTACAATTCTTTTTTGAAGTGTTGTCAAGCATGTCCTAATGCTTCAAGTGTAAATATTAATTGTCATTATCAGTACATCATTTAACCTTATATTGCCTTTTCAGGGACTTGGAGAGTTGGAGGTGTATTAGCCATGTCTCGTGCTTTTGGCAATCGCATGTTGAAACAATTTGTTGTGGCAGAACCTGAAATTCAGGTAAAAATCTTAAGACCTGACAACTATTTTAGGTTAGAATATCATCCATTGATCGTACAGAATGGTTAGTGAAATCTTCGAATTTTCTTTCTTGAGTAGTGTACATATCATTGTTATGAACATTGATATTGGGGTTTAGATAAATGTTTCTCTGTAATGTAGTCTTTGTTGTGTCTTCATTCTTTTGATTTATTAATTTAGCGAACTTTTGGTTAGACCCAAACTTTACCCTATGCAAATGTTTCTGTATAATGTAGTCTCTGTTGTGTCTTAATTCTTTTAATTTTTTAATTTAGCAAACTTTTGGTTAGACCCGAACTTTGGTGTTAGGTCATAATAAAGTCATGGAGGTATCAGTTAGCTTCTGTTGGCCTTTACATGGGGTATCCTATCTAATATATGTGGTAATCCATCTTCCTCCTGACAATGTTTTCCATCTTTTTTAAATGTGATTTTCTCTCTCTCTCTCTCTCTCTCTCTCTTTTTTCTTTTTTTTTTCTTAGACTTGAATTGGCATTTTGGGTATCTTTTCTGTATTAATTTTCTGATGGATTTCTTTTGTTGTTTTGGGACTGTGGGGGACTATTAATTCATGGATGTAACTGATGTAAAGGCGTCCCCTGTTGATTTCATATTTTTGAAGGTGTTCAGACTTCTAATAATGTGGATTGTCAACTACCATGATTCTTTGAATTATGTGTGTTTGTGTTCCTTTTAAGTTAGAGTAATTTGTGGTGGTCTTTCTTTGTGGGTGTAGCAGTGTAGAGGGTTTACATTTAATAGTCACTAATGATTAGTTTACTGTCTCAGGAACAAGAGATCAATGAAGAACTTGAGTTACTTGTGCTTGCCAGCGATGGCCTTTGGGATGTTGTTCCAAATGAGGTATGCTCTGTTCTTGACAATAAATCTGCTATATGCTAATCTTCTGGTTATATTTTAAAAGAATTTAAGCTTTTTTAAAAATTAAGGCTAGCTACTTCTAATTATATGATGTTAAATGTGTTCAATTTGAGCAGACTCTTACACGTAAAAGAGTAATACTCTGTGTTTTAATAGTATTGGTTCTTTTAGTGATTCTAGTTTCTACTTTGAAGAGGATAGTTTATTATGGGTTATATTGCTGTTATTTATTTGTATTCCATGGTCTTGTCGTTAGCCATTAGCTCACTTATGCAGTGTCTTCTGTTGTTTGTTGCATCAGATTGTATTCAAAGTTTTCTACCAATTGCATCAGATTGTATTCAAAGTTTTCTACCAATTAAATTAAGTGGTTTGTGTTTGCTTTGTGGTCAGGATGCTGTTACAATTGCTTGGGCAGAAGAAGAACCGGAAGCAGCTGCTAGGAAATTAACTGAGACTGCTTTCAACCGTGGTAGTGCTGACAATATCACCTGCATTGTGGTAAGGTTCCACCATGATAATGCAGGCAGGCCCCGGCTCGAGCAGCAGAAGTCACTTGAGCTCCATCAAGACATAAGTTCGGAGCCTGGGCCCCAACAAGAATTGAGTAATTTACCTGAGTGCCAACAGGATCAAAAGAATGTTTTAGAGCTCCAACAAGATCAGAATAGTGTCTTGGGGCTCCAACAAGACCAGAACAATGACCTGGCGCTCCAACAAGACCAGAACAATGACATGAATCTCCAAGATGAAGACTCCATTGAAAAAGTACGTTATATTTTGAATGTTACGTTTTAAATTATTCTCTCTCAAGAATGAAGACACCATTGAAAAAGTACCTTCAAGCTCCTAATTTCTAAAAGTTTAAAAAAAAAAAAAAAAAAAACCATTTTCTCTTTATTTATCAAAATCTCAGACAATGTTCTCCTTTGTCCTATGCAAAGTTATTGCAAATTCCTCCAAAAGTACTATGTTCCTTTTATTTTTTTACGTTTGGTAATAGGTATTATGAACAATGACATTTTTTTAATTTAGTGGGTGTATTGGGATATAGCAATAAAAAAAATATTGAATGGGTATAAAATTAATGGTAGGTACTTTTTTATTTTTTTTTAATGATAAATTAGAGATAACTATATATTACGTAATTTATTAAAGGACACGTGAAAAAAATTATTAAAATGAATTTAAGTTCAAAATGAGGGAGTTGGGTAGCATTTTAATTAGGGCTGATTATCCGAAAATTCGAACCGTAATCGATCCAAGAATTAAGGTACTCGTTCCAATAACCATAACGATTGGGGTACCCGATTCGTTAATTTGTTATCGGGTATGGTTATTGGGTATCATTTTAAAGTTAACAGCTACTTAATCCGATCCGATAAGCAATTTTTTCATTTTTTTCCTACTTAAATCTATTTATCCAAAATCTAAAATTACTTTACTTCATAATCACTTCACAATTTAAATGGTTAGTAATATTATTAGTAATTTTGTCATGATTATGTGGTTTTATTCTTAATTAGTGTTGAATGATATCATAATAACTAAATTATAAGGTCTAAATTTTCATTATTGGATAGCATATTGGGTACCCGATAACCGATCTGAAAATCCGGGTACCGAAGTACCCGAATTTATCGATTCGATTAATGGATATCATTTTTAGTGTTATTGGTTATCGGGTACCCAAATCGATAGTGTTAACGGTACGGGTACCCGATCCATGCTCTCCCCTAATTTTAATTCTTCAATCATGATTACTTGTATAAACATCCTGTTTTCTAAAATTTGATTACATGTTCAAATTCAAAAGGTGAAAGCCCTTAAATTTTTAAATCAATGCATTAAAAGATTGAATATTGGAGTTTGGAAAAATATAGAACATTGCACGTTTGTAAAACTTACTTGTATTCTGCTCAAAAAAAAAAAAAAACAAAACAAAAAAACAAAAAAACAAAATTGCAGTTGTTTCGGTGAAAACAATGGGACCTTCAGCAGGTCCTTCAGATGAGTGGAGACGAAGCCCAATTCGAGTGATGACCGAATTGAGGATCTCCTGCACTCTGCACAGCTAAACAAACGTAAACTGACCTCGGGGGTTGTGCTGAGGAAGGCCCCTTCGATGCCGAAGTTAGTACGAGTGTAAAATGGAGAGAGAATTGCTATGCAAGAGTGTTTGTTGCTTGAGGCAATATGTGTGAATGATTGTAAAGTTGACAAAATGTGAGCTTTTATACCTTGCCCCAATTGGATGGAGTGGGCTGACCATTTACCTTAGCTTTGTGAACTGAAGTGACATGTGGGCCAGAGGGTTTAACCTTGCTATTTGGGCTTTGCTTATTTTCATTTATGGTCTGGGCCCAAATATGAGTTATTTGGACCCCAACCAACTTGCCCCCCCGGACCCGATTCGTGAGGATAACGGGTCGGGTTTTCTGATTTTTGAGAAATTTGGAGGGAAGTAAATGAAAATAATTTGTATTTTGTTTAAGAAATTCGTGGAGCCTAATTAACGCTAATGACAGTTAATTAAGAGTAATGGGAAAGTGGAGAGAGTTTAGTGGATAATTAAATTTTTGGCGGTTGTAATTAATGGAACGAATTTGAATAGCCATGAATTGAAGTGGCGAGAGTGGGAAGTTCAGTGGATATTTAATTTTAGAAATCTCGTTTCTGGAACTCATTCGAACAAATCACTTCAATCTAAAACTCGTACTCACCAGGCTTCCTAGAATACGCGCAAATATCCCGTCTTTTTCTTCCTCAAAATCCCAAGTTTTCGAAGCCTTTCAGCAAAATCCGTTGTTCCGAACCGATAGATCGGCGGATTCCGAACCCGATTAAGGTAACTTTCTTCGAATTTCATTCGGCTTTCCACGTTTTCTAAGCTTTTCCCCTTTTTCGTTCTTTTTGCGTCGCCGTCGATTTCAAAATGGCCGGTAACCCCGGAAAGAGGCCAGTAGATTCTGAGGCGAGCGTTTTAGAAGAAGAGGTCAGCAGTTGACTTTGAGACGTAATCGACCTTTGGCGATGATGCCGTTTTTAAGCGGACAGAACCCTAATGCCAAAACTGAGGGCTGTGCCTTAAACAGTGCCCCCCCCCCCAGCCGAGACGGCCGAAGCTAGTACCTCGGGTCGAAGGGTAATCTCAGGGTCTAGGCCTTTGACTCCCGAAGAACGGGAGTGGACTGAGGAATCTGAGAATACCGGCTTAATTAGGACTGCCTCGTTCCCTTAGTGGATGGAAAATGATGCTCGGTATTGATTCGCCGAGCAACTTGAGGTTTATTATGGCATCATGGAGGCTGACGGCTACTGATGCCGAATGCCCACTGCTACAGATAGGATCTACCGAGCCCCTCCTGGTTACATTGGGGTTTATACTCGGCAACTGCAGTATGGGTTGAGATTCCCCGTTCACCCGTTTGTTGTGGAGATTTTTAACGGGTATAACATCTCTTTGGCTAAGCTGACCCCCGTGAGTATCCGAAGGGTCATGACCTATTTGTGGGTCTGTCTTTTTTATGGGTTGAAGCCGAGTATTCATTGCTTCCGGTGAACGCATCGGCTGACGCCGAACACCCAGTCAAACAAGTGGCACGGCACTGGTTGGTGGCAGATTGAAGACGAGAAGGGGTATCTTTCAACCTATCCGAATGATACCTCGGACAAACACTGGCGAGGTCAATGGATCTGGGTGCGAGCCCCTTCAGAAGAAGGCCACCCTAACTATTTTTTGGGGGCCTCGTTACACGAGAAAGCCTGATCCCTCGATGTCTAGCATCGGTCCCGATGACTTTACCGAGGCGGATCGCCAGCAGATGGAGTTTTTTGGCCGAACGGTCGTTCCAGGCACTACTGGCCGAATAGCTACGGTGCTGACTGTTTGGTTGCCTTGCTGTCATTACATCTTTCAAGAGAAGATGTTAGCTGTTGTCGTCCTCAGCTGAAGATACCAAGGTGGTAAGTGATTCGGCTGGGGCCGAAACTTTCAATTTTGCTTTTAAGTTTCCAACTTTTGACTTATCTAGCCGAGGTGACATTTTCTTTTTGATGTCTTCAGAAGTCTGCGAAGATAACTCAGGTATCAGTTACAGCGTGCTCGGGATCAGCCAGACGAGGGAGTCAATCACCAACACTCCCACAATTACCGCTGTCAAAGATCGACCCCTTGCGCTTCAGCAGAGAAAGCTAGAGGTGGTCAGCGCTTTTGAATACTTGGCGTAGAAGCCCTAGCACAAGAAGCTTGACCCCTTCTTTCTTCATTTAGCCGAAGAAGAAGTTGTTGTTGTTGCTGCTGCTGTTACTCGTGGCGGGATTGCACCTCCAGCCTTATCCTCTGCACCAGGGAACGAAGAAGATTCTGACGAGGAAAACACCGAAGAGTTGTTTGGGCCTTCGGTAAGTTCTCGATTCTTCTGCACTTCATTATTTAGATTAGTCTTTTTCATGCTTTGGTTTGTTTGAAATTTTCTAAGTATAGAGCTTCGGCACTTAGGTTCTTTAGCTTGTGAAAAATCCCTCTAAGTATGTAGCTTCATCTTAAGCATGCATGTTATATGTAGCTTTCTTAACTTGTAAGAATTTAGCTAAGTGTAGATTTTCGAATGCATGCTTCATTCTACTTGCTCGGCATGCTAGGGCTTGAATAGTCGTAGAACTTTTAGCAGTTTCCCTCTTTTGTTATGACTTGTATGATTTGTAAAAGTTGTTAAGTATAAGGCTTCGGCTTAGAGATCTGTGTGCATTTGTTGTTGTTTTTTTTTTTTTTTTTTTACAATTTGCTTACACACTTCACTGCCCCCCTATGTCTCTTCTGCTGCAGTCTGACGGAGAAGAAGTAGACAGAGGCGACCCAGCTGAGACCTTTCCTGCCCTTGAATCTACTGCTGAAGAATCAATGGCAGGCGGGAGAAGGAGACCTTTGGTTCTTCTTGGCCAGTTCAAGGCGCCAAAACTACTTGCTAAGAGGCCTCGGCTTGAGGAGGTCCAAGAAGAAGAGACCACAAAAGTCACTTCCCCATCTCAGGAAGTTCCAGTTGAGGTGTTCGAGCTGTAGACTATTCCTTCACCTCCTCGTCATGTTGCCAAGCCGTTTTCGGAGCAGGTTCACTGCGAGGTGGACGCGTTGGATGTCCATGCTGAGGACATCGGCCTTGCTGGAACTGAGGGAGAGCCTCAGATGGCTGAGGTCGGAGAGCCGAAAAGTAAGGAGGCTCCCTCCACTTTAGTTGCAGACTCGTTCCGAACCTTCCAATCTACAGAGATGGGTTTTGGTTCGGCGTCCTTAGTACCGGTTCCAGCACATGCCCAAGCAGTTTTTGAGTCCAAGCATGATTCGGCTGTTGCCTACTTCGGTAATTTGGACAACCTTTCAGCCTTGGACAAGGCCAGGGCTTGGATGCTGTGTGCTGCTGCAAGGGCTGCTGAGCCTTTGGCTAGGGTGCCGGACCCGTTTCTGGAAAACCAGAGGTTGCTGATGCAGGTAATCTTTCTTCACTTAAACATTTCTTTGATTGTTTGCTTCTTCTTCTCTATTCTCTTTCTCTTCTTTTCCTTTTTTTTTGAGAAAATTTTTCTAAGTGTTGGGCTTCGGCTAAATTTTTGTAGGTCGTGCATAATCATTTCCTCTCTGTGGAAATGCGTGACGAGCTGTTAACCAAGGCTGAGAAGGCTGAAGAAGCTGAGGCCCGAGCTTAGCTTGCTGAACTGAAGCAAGCAAAGGCTGAAGAGGAAGCTTCTGGGCTGAGACTCAACATGCAAGACATGGGCGCCAAATTCCTTTCCTTCTGCCAGGGTCTGGAGCAAATAATCTTCCCTTGCCTGGAAGAGGGTCACGCCCTGATTCAAGAGTATGGGGCCGAAAGCATTGCTGAATTCAAGGCCCGTATTGAGGCGAAGATGAAGGAGGAAGCTGAGTCTTGGCAGCTTCTGATTTTTGACCATGAGAGCCAGCTTGCTCGGGTTCGGGAAGAGGCCCAAAAGAAGCAAGAAGACCTGGAAGCTGCTAACCAGCAACTGAAGAAGGATCTAGAGGCTCAGAAGTCTGAGCTTGAGGCTACACAGAAGCTTCTCGAAACCCACATCTACACTGAGGCAGAATATGCTGAAGGGTTCGAGAATGGCTGGAAGTCTGCTCGTCGCCTAGCCTTCCATGCTGCTCCAGATATCAATTGGGATCAGGTCGAAGCCTGGTCGATGGACCCTGACAACCCTTGTATCAACGAGGCCAGCCAGGCTGAGATTGACTTCTTGGTTCGTCAGGCCGAAGCTGATGCCAGGGAGGCTGAGAAGGCTGCCAAGGAAGTGGACACTGTTCGTCCTGCATCTTCTTCAGCAGATGCTGGTCCTTCTGGTGCCCAGGATGATGCTGAAGCATAGGAACTCGGGCAGCCGTCTTCTTAGTCTTACGGATCTACATGCGCCTAATTGACGATCTCCACTTCTGCTTTGCCTTTGTTTTTGCTTCAGCCTGCCTCTGTACAAACTCTAAACTTGTTTTTGTGTATTTTCGGCAACTGTGTTTTCCGCTTTGTGGGCGGCTGCCGACTTTGAATTTATGTTTAATATTCTGAACTTTGATGCTTGTAGCTTCAATCTTTCTTCTGAATGATACTTTAACTCTTTCTTCTCCTTCGCCTGTTTGAGTAGTTTTGAACTTAATTGCTATTTTGAATTTCTTTAAAATTTTAGCTAAATATGAAGCTTCGGCTTGGAGAAATCTTAGCTGAAAACTTTCATTGGATGCCTCTGCCTTGTCCATCTTACTCGGATTTTACTTGAAAATTTTCCAAGTATGAGATCTCAGCTAGGATTTATTAGGTGAATACCTCTTGCCCCCCGGACCCAATTCCTTCGGCTCAGCCGACGGTTTTGGCTTAGCGAGATTTTTTGTTTTCCGTTTTTCCCTTGTCTTTGATTTATATATCAGAGGGAACAACTATCTGAGACACAATGCTAGGGCAATGATCGTCTGAAGTACAAGGCATGTTTATGCAATACTTCAGAGGTGTAACCATTACCCGGAATTGATCCGCCGAAACACAATGCATCACTTATGCAATATTCCGGGGTTCTAATCAGTTCCTATTTTCGGCGGTACTCTTAGATGCGTCTGTGGCCTCTTTGCCGAGAGCAATGAATCCGTCCGAAGTACAGTGCATCATTATGCAATAATTCGAGGTTCTATTCGTTGCTCCCATTTTGGCAAACTCTTCGGCTTGCCGAAGTACAGTGTATCACTATCCAATACTCCAGACAACACCGAATGTAAATCTTGAATTTTTGTAAAACCGTGAAAGCAGAAAAAACAAAAGCGTAATAGATTTGAGATGAACTGTGGCTCAAAGGCCTTTCATTTACATAGATTATTCTCCCACATTGGGCTTTTACACATGAAATTTTCTAAGTACATCAGCATTCCAGTGGTTTTGTAAATCAGTCCCATCTAACTGCCGAAGCCGATAAGTTCCTGGCTGGAGCTCATCGTATATTTCGTAGGGTCCTTCCCAATTTGCCGAAAGTTTTCCGTGAATACAGCTTTTTTGGACAGCTGCAGCATTCCGAAGAACAAGGTCTCCAACCTTGAGGAGCCTCGCTTGGACTCTTCGGTTATAAAATTTGCTGATTCTTTGTTTGTATGCTGCCATTCTGTCTTTAGCCGAATCTCTGACTTCATCTAGAAAATCAAGGGAGTCCTTCATGAGTTGCTCATTTTCCTCGGCTGAGAACTGGTTGACTCGAAGACTTTCTGAGCCAATTTCCACTGGTAAAACGGCTTCGAATCCATACACCAACTCAAAAGGTGAATGTCCTGTTGCCTCCTTTTCAGTTGTCCGAAGTGACCATAGAGTTCCGAGAAGTTCCTCTATCCACTTGGATTTTCGATGTTCAACTCTCTTTTTCAAAGCGTTGAGGATTTGCTTATTCTCCGCTTCGGCTTGGCCATTGCTTTGAGGATGGCAAACTGCCGAATATGCCAACTTAATGCGGAACTGATCCGTATATCGCCTCAGCGGCAGATTGTCAAATTGCCTTCCATGATCAAAGACAAACATCTTCGGAATGCCGAAGCGAGCGATGATATTCTACCAGATGAATTTTCTGACAGTTTGCTCAGTTATGTTTGAAGCTGGTTCGGCTTTAATCCACTTGCTGAAATAGTCAATGCCGACTATCAACCACTTTTTCTGATAAGGAGCTTCAGGGAATGGCCCCAGAATATCTAATCCCCATTGGGCAAAAGGGAGAGGATTCAAGATTGGCTGAAGGTCTCGTGATGGCCGATGGATGACTGGTGCGAATTATTGGCTTTTTTCGCATTTTCTCACCAGTTCCATGGCATCCAGAATCATAGTAGGCTAGTAATACCCCGCCCGTAACGCTTTGTGGGCCAGGGTCCTTCCCCCTATATGGTTTCCGCTGATGCCGAAGTGAATCTCCCGAAGGATATAATCTGTATCTGTTGGACCCACACATTTCAACAGTGGGGCTGAGAAGGATTTCTTCAGGAGTTCCCCATTATAGACGATGAACCTTAAGCCGATTTTTTTCAGTTTTGCGGCCAAGATTCTGTCTTCGGGAAGTTCCCCCTGAAGCTTATAAGCGAGGATGGTGTCCATCCAGCTTGGTTCGGCCTCGACACATAGAACCTCAGATTCTTGGTCGATGCTTCTGTTTCGGCGCACCTCCACATATACAGATCGGTTCAGCTCGGTGAGAGATGAACTTGCAAGTTTGGAGAGTGCATCAGCTTGAGCATTTTGTCCCCTTGGGATCAACTCAATTTCAAAGGTTCTTAGCTTCGCTATGACTGCTTTGATCTTGGCGAGATAAGAGATCATGGAAGGCTCCTTAGCCTCATACTCGCGTCGGATCTGATTGGCGACTAGCTGAGAGTCTGTCTTTAAACAGACATGTTCGGCTTCTAGGGCTATGCACAGTTCTAGGCCAGCGATTGCTGCCTCATATTCGGCTTCGTTGTTGGAGGCCTTAAATGAAAATTTGAGTGCATACTCGAAGCTTTTGCCTTTGGAGAGATAATCACTACCCCTGCCCTCGAACCATTCACGGTGGCTGAGCCATCCGTGAAAACAGTCCAAGTCTTCTTCCCTTCATCGAGTATTTCTTGATAGGAACATTCGGCTAGGAAATCTACCAAGGCTTGGGCTTTGATAGCTGCCCTCGGTTGGTAGCTTATGTTGAACTCAGTGAGCTGGAAATCCCACTTCGTCAGTCTACCTGACTTTTCCACCTTGTCGAGGAATTTTTCCAGCGGTTGATCCGTCAAGACTACTATTTGATGTGAGTCAAAATAAGGCCTTAACTTTCGAGCTGCTACCACCACTGCGAACGCAACTTTTTCGAGCAAGGGGTAGCGGGTTTCGGCGGCTGTCAGAGTGTGGCTGACGAAGTAGATCGGTTGCTGGACCTTTTCTTCTTCCCTCAAAAACACCGCACTGACCGTGGCTGGACTGACCGTCACATAAAAGTACAGGGTTTCTCCTTCGGCTGGTCTTGCCAGCGTTGGGAGATGAACCAGGTGCTCTCAGAGTTGCTGAAAGGCTGCCTTTTGCTCTTCTTCCCAGATGAGCTCTTTCGATTTCGGGAGCTTGAGGGCCTTGAAGAAGGGTAACCCTTTATCCGAGGCTTTGGATATGAACCTGGATAGGACAACCATCCTTCCAATAAGACGCTGAACGTCCCTTTTTGTTTTCGGCTCGGGAAGGTCAAGAGATGCTTGAACTTTCGTGACTTTGACAGGATTTATTCGTATCACCCAATCAAAATAAATTCCTAAGTCCTCTAACTAAAGCAGATAGGGAAGCAGAGTCGAATCCACAGGGAAACGGTGTTCTTTTATTCCTAATCAACGATTATAATCTAAACTATTAAGTAACCAAATTTGTGTTTGTGTGAATTAAACTAATAATAAAACTAAGCAAATAAATCAAAGGAATAATCAATAATAAAGAGCTCTAGGGTATAGGTTCACCAATAAATAATACTCCAGGGTAAATCATACGATCAATTATCAATGCATAAATTAACCAGATTATAAAGGGCTGTCGCTACGTATTATAATCACATAATTAATCTACTGGTATTAAATCTCATCTCTCGAATCTCGACCTAACCATTAATAGATTAACATGCCTATTGAAACTAAGCCTAAACATCAATTCTCATCTCTCGAATCTCGAATCAATATTGCAAAACTCATACAATTAAATCTGCGCAAATCTAATTGCACAACATTAAATCAATCAATAGGAAATTAATCAATCATTAACCATTAACAATAAATAATTACCCCTTCGTACTATTCATGGATCCCCACAACCCTAGAATTAAACTACTCACACATATTTAATATTAAGCTAAGCAAAGCAATTAAAGAAAGCATAATTAAGTCAAAGCAATTAAATTATTGAAAATAAAGAGGGAAGAAATCGTTACCAAAATTAAGGAAAATAATGAATTCTATAAATCAAGAGTGTGTAGAGAGATAAAGTATAGAGAGAGAAAGTAAGAAGGAGAGAGAAAGGAAGAGAGAAAGAAAAGTCGTCCGTGTCAACGACGCCCCTAAACTCACTTAACAAAAGCGTATTTATACTAAACTAAAATCCTCAATAAATAAAAAGAGAAACGAAAATAAAACTCCTAAATAGAACACGCGCCCGGTCGGGCGAGGCATCGCCCGGCCGGGCGCGCCTTTTTTCATACTTAAAGCCTTGCTCGCGCCCGGTCGAGCGGGCATCCGGGCGAACCTTCGCCCTATGGTCTTCTCCTCTCGCCCGGCCGGGCGCGCCTTAGGGCGAGGGCACTGCCCGGCCAGGCGGATGCTTGGGCTTAGTCTTCTTCGTCCTTTGGGCCTTGTTACCTTAGCCCAATTCGTCATCCTTCTTGGATCGAATTGCCCAAGCTCCAAATCTCCTCATTGAGCTCTTAATCACCGGATTGAATCATCAATTACGGTCCTGGGCTTTGGAATACGATCATAGAAATGCGTCTCGTCTCCAATGCTCGTGGTGGCTCCACTAAGTGCCGGAAAATGTTCCAAATCTACAGTTTCCTGTAGAATAATACCACAACTACGAAAACACTAGAAAACACATATTAGTAATAAAATTGGCTCTAAAGAGCCAAAAATACTCTTAACCATGATCACGGAATGGGGAATAAATATTTATATAAAATAGACTTATCAGACTTCACACTGAAGACACACTTTTTCGGATTCAGCTTCATTTAATGTTTTCTCAGAGTGGCGAACATTTCAGTTAGGTCTGCAACATGGTCTTCAGCCTTTTTGCTTTTGACAATGAAGTCGTCGACATAAACTTCCATGTTGCGGCCTTTTTACTCGGCGAACACTTGGTCCACCAACCTCTGATATGTCGCCCCGGCGTTTTTCAAGACGAAGGGCATCATCTTGTAGTTATACACCCCGACACTTGTAACGAATGTCGTTTTTGCTATGTCATCGGGGTGTATGGAGATCTGATGGTATCTAGAAAATGGATCCATAAAACTAAGCAGAGCATGGCCACTCGTCGAGTCGACTAGCTGGTCGATTCTCGGCAAGGAATAAAAGTCCTTCGGACAAGCCCTATTTAGGTCCGTGAAGTCAATGCACATTCTCCAGGTGTCATTTTCCTTCTGAACCATCACCACATTAGCCAGCCACTCCGGATATTGGCAAGGTTCAATGAACCTTGCATCAAGAAGTTTCTTGACCTCGGCTGCGATGTCTTGGTTCTTTTGAGCGGAATAATTTCGCTTCTTTTTCTTGACAGGCCGACATGTGGGGTCGACATTAAGCTTATGAGAGATGAGGTTCGGATCAATCCCAGGCATATCAGCTGCTGAGAATGCGAACATATCTCGGTTGTCCTGAAGGAGCTGGATTAGCTCAACTCGGAAGCTCGGATCGAGCCCTTGTCCGATGCTGACACATTTTTCAGTATCTCCTTCGGTCAATGATATTGATTCAGTTTGTTCATCTAGCTCCATAGACTTGAAGCCAAATTCTTCAGATTCGGGCATACTGTCAATATCACCAGACCTCCCTGACTTCGGCTGATCTTCTTCTGAGTCTTTCGGCCCATCCAAAGAACTAGCCTCTCCAGTCCCCAAAGATGTTCTTTTGGATGGGGATCCCTGAGCCGAAGCACTTAGGCCTTTAAGCCTTTTAGTACCTCGTTCTTTTTCTTTTTCTCTTTCTTCCTCATCATCCTTGTCGTTGCGACGACTTTTAGATGGTTTGAGGAAATTGCATTCTCGGGCCTCCTTTTGGCTGCCCAAGATTTTCTCGGAACGTCCTTCGTCTGAAACGTAAATCATTGCTTGATGGTACGTCAAGACAACCCCTTTGACGTCATGGATGAGGGGTCTCCCCATAATGACGTTGTATACTGATGGGGCATCAATGACCAAGAATTCGGCCATGATGCTCCGCTTCGCTCGGTCTTGGCCGAGGTTAACGCGAAGAAGAATTTTCTCGTGGATATGAAGAAGAGCCGTTAAACCCAGTTACCGGGTAAGGAACCGGAGTTAGGTGTCTGCTCTCCAACTTCAGCTGGTCGAATGCCTTTCGGAAAAATATATTCGTCCCGCTGCCACCATCTACCAGTGTTCGATAGACGTTGTGGTTTGCGATGACCCTCATGATTACCAACGGGTCATCATGGGGGTACACCACCCCCTGCAGTCTTCAGCTGTGAACATCATGTTCGGCACCGGAGACTATGGCTTTCGGAATTCGGCGTGGTGTATCTGATGGGTTAGCCCCCTCAGATGGCGTTTCAGCGCATTCCGAGAAATCCCTCCAGGACTAGTGAGGATGTCATGGTTTCCTCCTTCATGTGGTTTGTCCCTTTTCCGGAGGTAATCCAAATCTTGCCGAGAATCTCTCTCAGCCTTCTTCTCTTCGCGCCGCTCCGCGACGTACTTTTTTAAGCACCCTTTTTGGACCAGCTCTTTGATCTGGTCCTTCACCTGAAGGCAATCTTCGGTGCGATGTCCACGAGATTCATGAAACTCGCACCAATGATCCTTCCCTTTCTTCTAGGGCCAAGAAGGAGGCGGCTTTGGTTTTTTGAATCTTCCCTCCTCCCTCGTCGCACTAAAGATCTTAGTACGTGGTAAGGTGAGAGGGGTGTAGGATTCGAACTTCCCTGTGTAGGGGGCCTTATCCTTCTTCGGCTCGGTGATCGAGTGAGGTTCTGAGGCTTTCGCCTTCCCTTTCCTCGACCCCGGAACTTCATCTGGTTGGCCTTTTGGCTTCACATCCCCTGATTGAGACTGCGACTTCGCCTTGTTCCATTCCTCGGCTCGGATGAATTTATCCGAAGCGTCGAGGGCCTCTTCCAAGGTCTGCGGTGGATGCATGACCATGAAATCCAGAAACTTTCCAGCTTGCAAACCATTCCGTAGTGCGAATACGGCTAGACTTTGGTCCAGACTTGTGATTCCAGGCGACTCGTTGCTAAAGCGAGTCAAGTAATCTCGGAGACTTTCGTCTTCCGTCTGCTGCAGGCCAGTAATTTTCTCTCGGCGGTTAGCTGTAGAAAACTTGCTCTTAAACTTGTTGGAGAGATCATTCCAACCCGTTATAGAACCTTCCTTCAACCCTTTGGTGATCCATGACTGGGCAACATCTTTAAGGGTTGTGGGGAAGTATTTGCACCAGGTAGCTTCAGACCTGGGGTTAAGGTACATATGCCCCTCGTAAGAGGCTATGTGACCCTTCGGATCCGAAGTACCATCGTAAGTGATGTGTGCCGGAATTTTGATCGTCGGCACGTATTCCTCCAGTATCCACCTCTGGAAAGGTAAACTGGTAGGAACCATCACGACCTTTCCCTTCTACCTTTCCGAAGGAACCTTACTTCTCCCTCTTAGAGAGGTGGAAGCGAGGGGTGTCTCCGCGTGACAGTTCTGGGCGATTGCCTTTGGGATAAGTGAGACAGCCGTGGATGTCTTTCTCCCTTTCCCCTAGGCGCTCGTAAACGCTTCGGCGAAAAGCGTTGTGGTTGCTTGGGAAGTCCTTTGAGTTCCGGACTTGGGAATTTTCCAAGTGACCGGAGTCCGCATCGTTCCCGTCCTGTCCTGGCCAGGCTTTCAGCTCCTCCGCTTCCTCCAAAGGAGGAAGGAATTCGTCCTTCCCCTTCCGGGGCCAGTTTCCTCTTCCGGCTTTCCGGCTTCGGCGGAGGTGAAGGAGGAGTATTGTGCGCGGATGGGAGGCGTCCACCCAGGGTTTTCATGAACTCCATGCAGACAGCCACTGCCCTCGCCACATTTTCAGTTGAAGGAACGGTGGGAGGTTCTGACTTCGAATGGGAGAGTGAATGCACGCTCTGCGGAGGGTTATCCTCATGAGCGTTACTCTCTTTCGGCGAGTTCCCAATTTGGTGAACCCGTCGGGAGTAAGATCCCTCGCGCACATTCTCTCTCCTCGGAGAGTTAGAGGCAGATGGTTCAGGCGACGGTGAGGGTGTCCTATCGATCCTCACCGTGATCATGCCTATCTTTCTCGCTTTTTTAGAGCTTTTACCACTCTTAGTCATTTTCGCGTTGGCTAAGATTGGTATGAGATTTTTGGCTGATTTTTTGTAAGAATCCCCACAGACGTCGCCAAATTGGTTCGGTAAAAACAATGGGACCTTCAGCAGGTCCTTCGGATAAGTGGAGACGAAGCCCAATTCGAGTGATGACTGAATTGAGGATCTCTTGTACAGCTAAACAAACGTAAACTAGCCTCGGGGGTTGTGCCGAGGAAGGCCCCTTCGATGCCGAAGTCAGTACGAGTGTAAAATGGAGAGAGAATTGCTATGCAAGAGTGTTAGTTGCTTGAGGCAATATGTGTGAATGATTGTAAAGTTGACAAAATGTGAGCTTTTATACCTTGCCCCAATTGGATGGAGTGGGCTTGTGGAATAAATGGGCTAACCATTTACCTTAGCTTTGTGGACTGACCTGACATGTGGGCCGGAGGGTTAAACCTTGCTATTTGGGCTTTGCTTATTTTCATTTATGGATTGGGCCCAAATATGAGTTATTTGGACCCCAAACAGTAGTCAATAGAACTTAGTGGTAAAGAAACAAACCTAGGAACGAATACGATTTTCTACCAAGCTAGTGTTTGTTCTTGCATCTCCTAAGTCGAATTTTATGCTTTCATATTGTTCTAAATGATCATTAGTATCTTTAATTGTTTATAAGTAAATATTATAACTGAATTTGGCCTTTTCTTGAAGTACAGAGATCACTAGCTGCTTTTGGTCATTTTCTATGATATGGAGACCGTTAGCAATTGTGTACCTTGCGCGCACACAACAAGACCTAAGAGATTACTTATCCATAAAAGTTTTATAACAAATAAAACAGAATCTTTCAATACTTAGTTAATCTAAATTGATTAAGCTTAATAATTTCTCTTTGGGTCGGGGTTCACCATTTCTATATTTAATCTCTTTTTAGAGCATGTTTGGTTAATGTATTTTTTGAATTGGAAACAGATTCGATTAAACCAATACCGTTATCGAGTGTTTGGTTAGAAGGCTTGGTAACAATTACCATTACTTAAGGGTAATAGTTACCTCTCATTTATTACCTCTCAAAAACTTAGGGTAACAAATACCCTTACCCTCCTCAAATACAATCAAAGGGAGTAAAGTTTAATTGATTCCTTCCATGGTTAAACCAAATAAATGAATAGGTAATAGTTAAATGGTTCGTCTCTACACTCTTATTTGTTTCTTTTCATTCCACTATTATTATTCGAACCAAACGTCCCCTTAATTGGTTTTCTTTTCTTTTAATATGACTGTGAAGTTGCCGAAAAATACTCTTATATATTTTTGTAACTTAACATGTGCCCATAAACATCATGCATTAGACAAACATTTTGAAAATAAATGCAAAAAGTCAAAAATTTATAAATTCCGGTCCTGCAACACTGTATTTTCTTATAATTAAAATTACAATTTACTGTAAATAGTCAAAGGCAAAGTGATAAACTGATAATAGTGCAAAACCCCAATATAATTATTATTGTAATAAATAAAGAACAAAGGTAATACAGATATTCATGAAGTAATTTATTTATGCCAAAAGGCAAGCGAAATTTATTCGTTATACAATTTAATAAACAAAAGGATTTCCTGATTAAAACCAGGAAAATCCTTCCATCTATCAACCCCAAAACACTCTTTATTCAGAAAATGAATAAAACATTTAGTTATAATAATCTTGTGATTATATCGGGATAGGATGAACAAGGACTGATGCAACTTTATCTTGTATGATCTTGTTAACAATGGTGTAGCCATCGGTTCTGTCCTTGTAGAAAACCATTATAGCGCGAGTAAGGTGGAGAATTCGATCATTCAAAGGTTTTGGGATAACATATGGTCGAAGCAATGCTTGGTTAAAGTCCTTCCATGCATCATCCACTTTCTTCTCGATAATTTGATTAACTTGTTCCTCATCTACGTCGACATGTCCCTTCATGTAGCATTGGATACACGACACAACATGAGTTCTGCTGTTTTGTTCGAACTGCAATAAAAGCACGTTTAATGTGTTAGCTTTGGCATAAACGAGCTAAGGACACCAAAAAAAATATATAAAAAGATTTGATCGAATAGGGATGTCAGTGGGACGAGTTTGGTAAAAGGTAAAAAGATTAATAATTACATACCTCGGTGCTGCCTAGGTCATTTTTAAGCCTAAAGATCACATGTGAAGCATCTACTAACGTAGGCATAGGTTCTTGGCACACCCATGCAATTCCTTCATTGGTTGCAACGGGTCCCATGCCAAGCATTGATGAAACAAACCCTAGAATTTGGGCAATCGAGATCTTAGCTACTTCTACATACTCGTCGAATCCTGGGGTGTACCTTTGGCCGCACCATTTTGCTTCTTCAAGCCATGCCTCACAAACACGGTTCATCTGCAACACATATATTTTAGACATGAACTCAAGGTGGGTTCGTTGTAACAAATAAAAAAAAAAAAAAAGTACTTGTAAGGTGTATTACGAAGTATAATATTATACGGAGTAGTATATATAAGTGACTGTTAGATAACAAACAGAGAGTGGTAATTATTGGAAAATGCACTAATTTTAATGAAAATGCAAGATAATTTTGATCCGAACATACCCGTTCTTTATAACATTCTACACCTTGTGATCTTCCTTCTTTAGCTAGTTCGTTCTCCACTTCATCTACGGTTTCAAGAAGCTTTTGATAACAACAATCAAAATATTCTGGCAATTTGGCTATGTAGCTATAGTCCCACCTAAGAAATTTAATTAACAGTATAGATTAGTACAATAAATATAAAAAAATATGTTAATTATGAATTACAAAATCATTAGAATACTATGGTAGTCATATTTCAAACGACCACTACAAAATTTTCAATTTACGGATTAATAAAATCTACAAACCTTTGAACTGCTTCAACCAGGAGTTTTAGAATGTCATAGGTACCATATGCATCAAATACGTCGTCAAAAACTTGCACAATCATGAAAATTTTGATGAATGTTTTTCTTGCAGATGAATATTCACGTTCATAATAGCATCCCAAAACCCAGAAGTAAGCCTCCACCAAACGATCTCTTACAAATGGTACCTTCGGGTAAAAATCGTTCCACCAACTAATGTAACAAATTTAATGTTAGCACAAAATCATACATACTCCTTCGGTCCGGTAATAATTGATATAATAGTACTAATGACGTTTTGACCTAATGGTAAATAATAAAGACTGGGGTTGTTGTACGGTATGCATTACCTGGAAATATCTTGGAATTCTTGTTTATGCAACAATTGGAGTAAGTTGAAATCTAACTTTGCCAATTTGACTAAAGTTTTGTTGTGAGAAGCATATTGTTCATAAAATCCTATGTAATGCTTTGACTCTAGTCGAACAAAGCCATAGTGAAGAGGTTGGTCTAGGGCATGAGTAACTTGTTCGGCCAAAGGAGAACTCAATTTCTCTACCATAAGTTTAAGATGAGTAGTAGTAAAGACGATAGCTTCGTCTAGGATTTCATCTTCATGGATACGAACATAACATGCCTCGTACAAGCTTAGGAGGCCCGGAACATCGTTGAGTATGCAATCCTTGAAGCTTCCTTTCTCATTCTTAAACTTCTTGAAAACATCTAATTGATTCACAATTAATTAGTAATCAACAATTCAAAGCTTGTCAATTTTACTAAATGTCCATTATACATTCGGATATATATTGTCTGTAAAGGTTATATATGACGCGTAGAAAAAAAAAAATTAAAGGAAGAAGATTAGTGTTTGTTACGTACCACTACACACATGATAGCCATGTTGCCTGAGGATTCGAAATCGAGCGGCAACATGGTACAAATCATCTTTGTCACATTGGTCATGGTAGTTTTCATACACTTGAACTAGAGCTTCCTCAATTTCCTTCTCTAAGTAGTATGCCAACCCAAGACGTTCGATTGCGTCGATGAAATCCAGCAGCTCCAAAGGCTTGTCAACAGTTGCAACTCTTGCAAGTAGCTCTTTCCTTACTTGCTCTTTCAGATGCTCAACTTCTTGCTCCTTTTCAAGTTGGGTTACCTATATTATAATATTATCCAATTTGTTATTTCATAGTTTTACAATTTTCATGCAATAGATAGATGTAAAAAGTTTGATTATTACTCATATAAGGTTATTCTTTTTGAGTTTGTTTACTTAAAATTAAAATAACTCGTCACTTTATGTCCCAAACAAATTTTTGAGCTAAGAAATCTATAGGATTTCAATCTTTTACGATTTTTTATTTTTATTTTTATTTTTTTTTATTTTTGA